ACGAATTCCACCTGCTATGATAGATGAAGTCCGGTCACATATTAAAGAGTTGTTGGCAGCAGGAATTATTAGACCTTCACACTCACCTTTCTCCTCCAATGTCGTACTGGTCAGGAAGAGTGATGGATCTCTACGACTCTGCATAGATTATCGACAGTTGAACTCCAGAACTGTAAAAGACAACTATGCCTTGCCCAGAATTGAGGAGATACTGGACTCACTATCAGGAAACACCTATTTCAGTGTTCTCGATATGAAATCAGGATACCACCAAATAGAAATCGAAGAGCGGCATAAAGAACGAACTGCATTTACTGTGGGCCCTCTTGGATTTTATGAGTTTAATAAAATGAGTTTTGGCTTAGCTAACGCACCTGCAACTTACCAACGTCTACAAGAGCAATGCTTAGGTGATTTACATCTTAAAATTTGTTTTATATATTTAGACGACTTGATTATTTTTTCAAAATCTTTCAGGGAACATATTAACAGCTTGCAGCAAGTATTCCAGCGTATCAGAGAATATGGGCTTAAACTTTCTCCCAAGAAGTGTTCACTCTTCAAGAAGAAAGTTAGATATGTCGGACACATCGTGTCTGAAGATGGGGTGGAGCCAGACCCAGACAAGTTGTCGAAAGTCAAAAACTGGCCAGTTCCAACAAATGCAGAGGAAGTTAGGCAATTTTTAGGCTTTGCGGGTTATTACCGTAAATTTATACAGGACTTTGCAAAAATTGCCAGACCATTAATTGACATTATGGCTGTTGGAAAGAAGTCTAGAGGGAAGCAGAAACCAGACCCAAAATGGAAATGGGAACAAGAACAACAGGAGGCATTTACTTTACTTAAGGATAAGCTTACTTCACCACCTGTTCTAGGTTATCCAGATTTCACCAAACCATTTAAGTTGCACACGGATGCTTGCCAGACAGGTCTTGGTGCAGTATTATATCAAGAACAGGAAGGAAAAGATAGAGTCATTGCATACGCAAGCAGAGGATTGAGCAAGTCTGAGAAGAACTATCCAACTCACAAGCTTGAATTTTTGGCATTGAAGTGGGCGATTACTGAAAAATTTTCCGACTATCTACAAGGAAAGGAATTTACTGTCTACACTGACAACAATCCACTTACCTATGTTCTTAGTACTGCAAAATTAGATTCTACTGGACATCGTTGGATTTCTGCTTTGGCCTCCTTCAACTTCAAAATTTTATACAGACCGGGAAAATCAAACACAGATGCGGATAGACTTTCCAGACTCGACAACACAGAAACCATTGACAGCGACTCTATTAAAGCTATATGCCAAATTGGACAGCCATATGCAGAGACTTTAGCCATAGATGATGCTATTTGCCAGCTTATGCAGCCAAGTTTAGAAATAGCAGATCATTTAGACATATCAGCTATTCAAGATAAAGACCCTACTGTTTCTTTCTGGAAAACCCAAGTGGAATTAGGAACCAGACCAGATAGGGATTCTTTGAACACTGAAAATGACTTAATTTTCTACAGGAATTTTTCCAAATTCAAAGTCAAAGAAAACATCCTATTGAGAGAAGTGAAAACAGAAGATAGCACCATCCATCAATCTGTCATTCCCATGTCAACCATTCCAACTGTATTACATCACCTGCACAATAAGATGGGACATTTGGGCAGAGACAAGACTATTTCATTAGTGCGACGACGATTTTATTGGCCAAAGATGCAGAAAGATATCATCGATTGGATTGATTGTTGTGAAAGATGTATAAAGACTAAGACAAGTGACCAGAGAGCTGAATTAGTTAACATCCAAACATCCCAGCCACTGGAACTTGTATGCATGGATTTCCTAACATTAGAACCAGCAAAGGGAGGAGTACAAAACATCTTAGTCATTACAGACCATTTTACCCGTTTTGCGGTGGCAATACCTACTCGAAACCAGACAGCCAAAACAACTGCTGAAGCTATCTTCAATCATTTCATTTTACATTATGGAATTCCAGAAAAACTACATTCGGATCAAGGAACAAATTTCTGCAGCAACATCATTAAAGAATTATGTACTCTTTTAGGAATTTCCAAATCAAGAACAACCCCCTACCATCCGATGGGTAATGGTATAACAGAACGCTTTAACAGAACTCTTCTTTCCATGCTGAGAACTTTAGAAAACTCCCAAAAGCCTGATTGGAAAAGTCACATCAATTCCTTGGTTCACGCATATAATGCCACAACAAATGATTCAACAGGATTCTCGCCATTTTACTTAATGTTTGGGAGAGAGCCTAAATTACCGGTTGATATCATCTTTGGATTTCCTCAGCAGTCAGATGAAGAAAAATGCAATACTAAATACATCAACAGATTGAAAGAACGACTACAAGATGCATATAAGCTAGCTAATACAGCAATCAAGCATTCCCAACAAAGGCAGAAGGAAAACTACAACTTAAGGGCAAGAGCGGCTACTGTACAGGTCGGAGACAGAGTTTTGGTGAAAATTGTATCGTATGATGGAAAGCATAAGATCGCTGATAAGTGGGAAGATGAGCCTTATGTAGTCGTTGCTCAATCTAATAAAGACATACCTGTTTACAAAGTTCAACGAGAGGACGGTGAAGGAAGATGTAAAGTTCTACATAGAAATTTATTGCTTCCAATAGGTTCTAAATTACAGAAGTCTACACCTCCTCCATCAAAACCACCAAGATATAGAAAGAAGGCAACAAGAAGAGAATTTCCAATAGAAACAATAATTTCTAATGAGAATTTATCAGATTCAGATAGCGAATTTTCTTTTATAGGTTACCCTATAAGGCAGTCAGAAAATTCACACCAAGGAATTCCCAGTCAAGATGGTGACGACCATTCTTTGACTGAGGAATCTTCAGTTATGGATTCTGGAGAGGACGCTCTCCACCAGGATGAGCCTGGGAACCATGCTGAAGAGGATGAAGAGCATAATGATGATGTTGATGAAGTTGACGATGATATTGATGATGATATGCCTTCGCATGCTGATGATACTGTTCATCAGGAGCAAGAGCCTTCAACACAAGATACCCAAGTACCAGTACCAGCACCAAGGAGATCAACTAGAAACAAAAGTAAACCACCTTGGACAAAGGACTTTGTGATGATGAGTCAGACACAGCCAGACTGGTTACAGAGAGCCAATTTTATCAAGAGTTTGATGGAACAAGGAACTTTAGAGAGTGTTGACTCCAGTGTTTGCCAGTTAGCCTTGTTAAACCTTGTGTCTGCATCATCTAAATAATGTTTTAATTGTATATTATGTATTTTTATGCTTTATATTTCAGGATTATAGTTTCCCATTTGAATGACGTGGACGTCATTCCGCGACCGGGGGGAGATTGTAATAGTGTTGGATTTGTTTAAAATAAAGTAACAGAACTTGCCAGAATATATTTTTTAACTTTTATTTAAATTTGTTATTCAAAACCTAGATCCACCCCTTAGTTCTCCCTTATCTGTACATACTTATATATATACCTAAGGGCATTGGTCAGGTGTTTTGGAAGTGGTTATTGTTATTTTGGTTTTTATTGGTTATTGATTTGAAAGGTCTGATTCTATTGGTTTTATTGACTGGGTTGGAGTTTTCCCGCTTTATTAAGACCATTCTTTGTTCAATGGTTGATCTGACCAGACTATATATATATTAAAAAAAAGACATTCTTGACTTTGGACAGATTTCCATTTCTGATCACCATTCATGTAGATGCTTCTATATTAACAATTTGTGGGAAAGCCTATTCCCATAGAATGGGCTTACACAATACAACACAATATATATATAATCACTCCACTGTGCAATAAATCTGATGAACCCTGACAGGAGTGTTGTGTTATATACTTCCATAGTGACACCCCTGTTACACTTATATAGCATATAGCATTACTCAAAATCGCAAAGAAAATTGGAGTCAGTGTGCATCCTAGCTATTGAGCAACGGTAAAATGAACTTGACACCCGTCTCATAATTTAATTCTCCTCTTTATCTTAACATGGAGAGTCTCCAAATTATAGTTATAACACCCTAATTACAAAACTGAATCAGACAATTATGATTGATGAATAAACATAATTATATCTGCACATGGATAATTGTACATTTAATTATGGTATAAGCCTATTTTCAACAACTTTTAAAACATTAAAGGTTTTTAGTAACCTTAGAACTTTTTTTAACACAGTCAATATTAACCTTATATATAAATATTTATCTTAAAACATCGTAATATATCGTTGTAGACAATGTAGATTAAATTGGGCGCGAAACGTCTCGGCGCGAAACGTCTTTAGGGGCGAATGGTCTGGGCGCGAAACGTCAATAGGGGCGAAACGTCCCGTTACCCGCCTTTTCTGTGCTACCTGCATGATTTTTACGCGGAGCCCTACTTAATAGATTAGGAATTTATTTTTTGCCGCTTGGTATAGATAGTTTTTGCAATCTGATTAAAATCAGATCTTTGTTACGCTCCGAAATTCTGATGGTCGCTTTGTACAGCGACCATCAGAATTTCGGAGCGTCACAAAGATCTGATTTTAATCAGATTGATAGTTTTTGTAAAACGAATTTTCCCTCAATGTCATCCCCCCCCCTCCACCACGAAATAGGATTTTTGAGTTTGGACATTTTACCCTTTTTTCCTCCCTTTTTTCATTTTTTTCCCTTATATTTATATATTTTTTTCCTTTTTCTTTTTTGCTTGTCGAAGTTTTTTTAGGTTCTTTTTTTTCTGGCTGCCCCTCCCCCCTTTTTATAAAAAACGGTACAACGTGCCTGTAATGATTACATGAGAATGTTTTAATTCAGTTTCATTTAAAATTTTCATACTGACAGTCCCAGATCAGATGACTATTTCAAAGTTACACTCTCTTCCGGTAATTATATTTCTCACTCGGAGCTCCTCGGGTTTCTCGTCACACTTGTATGGAGAGTAGCGAAATCACCCGAGGATTGCCGATAGGATGTTTCGAAAGTAACTGGACGTGTTTTCTACAGAAGAATATGGTCGTGACAGATCAGAAAGTAAACCCAGCCGATGTTGTGCTAGTCGTAGAAGCGACAGCGAATCTCAGTGCTTACATTGATGTGCTAAAGAAGCAGTATATTGTTCCATCGCTAGAGTAAGATGTTTTGAAAATGAGACATTCACAAGCAAAAAAAAAAATTTAGATTTATTTTCCTAAACCATAAACCAGAGAGACACAAATAACAAAAAAGAAAATGTTACTTATGCCTCTACTTGAACAGCTGAAAAAATATTGAACTGTAAAATCCACTCTTTTTCAGAGTTTTTAATGGTGGACCTCCTGATCCAACAGATATTGGACATGATGTAAGCAGATATATGAAATATGATAATTTGTGTTCATGTCTGATATATATCTATGCCAAAACCAAACAGTCTTGATATGATGATTTTAATAAATCCTATTTTAAAGTATTCCTTTTTAGTGTCTTGTATAATGAAGACAGTTTTTTCAATCATAAATTTAGGATTAGACATGTCTTAAAATGGACTGAATCGTCCCATGGGTTGGAATGTATGATTAAGTTCTGATAATTTTTTGAAAGTGAAAGTATATTTGTCTTGTTTTGCAGTACAGCTGTTCATTGTACAATCTAGTGACCTTCTACTCAGCTGATGTCATTCCAGACACAACATCAAGATGTTCTGGTGTCACTACAAATATTCACGAGTTCATAACTTGGTTGGATGATCTTCCGTAAGATATATTAGCTACCTGCATGATGTCTGCCTAGTTAAGTCCAATGTAAACCTCAGATGCTTCCATATTCACTGTGTTCTTCATAAACATTGTACAACAGATTTATATTTTATGAGCAAAAACTGAAATATTTTAAAAATATATAACTGTAAGCATACTTTTTTTACGGCTACAATAATTCCTTAGAATCACAATTTCGGTTCAATCTGCGAATAGAAAATTATGCAGTTTTCTTGGATTGCCTTTGTATGTCTTAAATACACTTCAAGTATGCTATGACATATTTCTTTGGAAATTGTATGACCCCATATATAGCATAAATTAATCCCATGCAGAAAAGTATGTCTACATTAAGTAGAGCACTGCTGTCAGCAGATTTATGTTATTTAACAGTGAAATAACCTTGCGCCCAACCACCCAAGATGCATAAATTTTGCCCCAAGAGAGCAAACTTGCTTATATTGAAGCCCAGCTGGACCTGTTAAAATTTCCACTAATTAAAAAAATTGACAATGATAAATTTTGTCTCAAATCAACTAATTGTACCAGTAGAAAAGTGTAATAAGCCAAGTTTTAGAATTTGTCAGTATATGTAATTGGGATTGAAGTTATGCTGAATAAATCCTAGTCACACAAGAGCCACTCAACTTCAAGAACTGTGTATGATTGCAACTTGTTAGCCACATGGCTGACAATGTAAGAACTTATAAACATGGTTTTACAAATTAAATAAAAATAATTTTTGAAAAGGGCTAGTATCGGTAGATCACGGGCAGGGCTGACAACTTTTATTAGCAATCAACCCTGCATGTCTAGCTAGTTTTATGGTGATTTTCAAATGCTGCAGGATAATGTTAACTAAGAAATATTAACCAACTGGGATAGAAGTTTTCCAAAATTTAAAATAAAACCTTAATAAAGATATTTGATGTATATTTTAGATATGAATTACAAATGTTTACTGCTTTTAAAGTGATCTCTGTTTGTCCTTTACAGGTAAAGGATTGGATTATAGGTTTTTTCTCTGTCTGGCAGTCTGTACCACTTGGTTTTCCTGAATTTTATACTCCCCATAAATGAAGTTGGGGGGGGGGTTATATAGGAATCACCTTGTCCATTTCACTGTCAGTCTAGCTGTTCAGCTGCCAATTCATCTGTGCAATCCTCTCTGGGCTTTATCTTTGTAATGGAGAAAGATTCGAAGTTCATACTTGGTACAAAGATTGTTTGTGACCTGAGTGGGTGATATGACCTTAACCTAAGATCATTATGGCATTGTACCTCATACGAAGATTGCTTATGACCTGAAGATGTGTCATGACCTTGACCTAAGGTCATTTGATCAAGTTCAAGGTCAAGGGCAATTTTTTTATTCCTGTCTTGACCATATTTTGTAATGGAGAACATTAGAAGCTCATACTTATCACAAATATTGCATATGACTTGAGGGTATGTATTGACCTTGAAAAAAGGTCAGTATACATGTAGCAAGTTCAAGGTCACTAGTAGAAAAAGTGATTTAACCATCTGGTCTATAACTCTCAAATGAAGGCTATTTGGTATTTGACACTTGAGACAAGTTGACACTTGACACAAAAATTAATTAGGACTTAAAATGTATAAAATTTGTTTCTAGTTCATTACTCTCTAATGGATAAGTATTGAAACTTGAAACTTCAAACAAAGATTATTTGTGAGCTCAAAGTAGTGGTAAGTCATAACAGTGACCTAAGGTCATTGTGGCATGTTCAAGATTATTGACAAAAAAAGTGTAAAACTAATGTCAGGTCCATAATTTTCTAATGGAGAAACACTTGATGCCCCTATTTTATTCAAAGATTACTTATGACCAGGGGATGTTTTTTAACCAAGGTCATTTTGGCTAGTTCAAGGACACATTTAGGAAACTGTTAATGTGCACTTTAAGAAATTTTCAGATGCTTGCAAATATTGAGCTGAAAAAAAAATCCAAAAAAAAAAAAAATTTCAGAAGAAAATGTTGGTCTTGCAGATAAAATTCACAACAGATTGGCTTTAATGATTTTTGACAGAAATACAACCCATAATCTGTTTTGGTTTTGTATTTCTCTCAGAGTGGTTGGTTAAGGTTGCCTTCATATTTCTTATATTACAGCTCTCATTTGTTGTCTTCTGATTTTTCAGATTTATTGGTGGAGGTGGAGAGTCTTGTAGTCACATCACTGAAGGATTGAGTACAGCTCTCCATGTTTTTGATGATCTCCAGAAAGTGCGCATTGATATTGGGTATGTTTCTCCAACCACTGTGAACAAAAAATCCATTTTATTTCTCCTATTTTATGAATACATGAATTTGTAGTGTTTGTATGATGTAAAATCTAATGTGATGGTAATCCAGATACAAAATACTTACAGAAACAATTTAGGAATCTATTCACAGACACTTATTAACTGTTTTGAGTTTGAAACAAATGTGTTTTGTTTTTTTATAACTATGGCTTAAATTTTAGGTTACCTGTGCAGCGACACTGCATCCTTGTCTGTAATTCCCCTCCCTATAATCTACCCAGTCAGGAAGGGGTCCGTTATGTGGGATATATGGCAGATCAGTTAGCCAGCATGATGGCCAAGGTTTGATTTGTTATCTATATGGCTTACTAAATGTTCAACATTAAGTGATGCTTTGACCTGTTACAAATAAACATTACTCCTATAACTGCTGCAAATATCATAGACAGAAAAAGAGCCTAATTATATTCTGATAATTTGGTTATATTTGACTTGTATTTTGGTTGTATGTTGGTTATATTTGACTTGTATTTTGGTTTTATGTTGGTTATATATGACTTGTATTTTGATTATATATTGGTTATATTTGACTTGTATTTTGGTTATACTTGACAGAGGGGCATCCATTTGTCCATCATATCCCCAAGAAAAATCCCTGCTCTTCAGAAACTGTATGAGGAGGTAATATGCAGATTAATTTTGCAGATCACTGTAATTAATGAAATGCATGCTTTCATTAGGTGTAGCTTCCAAGTTTTCTAATCGTATGTTATATTATTAGTACAATTTCTTGGTTTATGTAGTAGGACCAAGTTTTGTTTATCTTAGTGCTGGCAGTCTTTGGTTCGCTGATAGCTAATGCATTTCAGTCAGTTTTAATGTATACTTGTGTATTTCTGTTTGTAGTCTAGTTCTCCTGCTGATATGTCAGCTCCAGTGAAAGACTTTACCACAGATCCACGGCATCATGTTTTACTCCATGGATTTCAACTGGAAGGTAATCTTTTTTTTATCTGACTACTTGTACAGGCATGTATGTGAGATTTTAGGTCACTTGAGTCTGTTTCATTCTGTGTGCTAAATTTTGTCGATTTTACAGAACGAGCGCACAGTCCAGCAGGAGACCACACAGCTGTCATAGACAAACTTGTAGACAGTAAGTATAGACATTTATAGCCATATACACAAACAAACCTACACACAATGAGTACAGACATGAGTACACACTTGTATGTCTCAGCACATACAAGCCAACAGAGGCCAACAATAAAAAATAATTTCAAATTGTTTGATGTACTCCAACCCGTCAAAATCACCCCCACCTATTCATTTTTTTTCAGTATTTTGAATTTTATTTTTTTTGTCCCAGGAAAGACACTTTTGTTTTTACAGCAATAAACTAATATCAAATATGTCTAACTGTCCCATGTATACATTATAATGAAAACATTAATGAATTGAAGATAGAGGGTAATACATATGTATTTATCTCAGTAGTTGTTTGAAATCATTTCATGTTGACCTCTTCATGTCAGACCTAGCTTAAGAATAAAGCTTACTGTATATACATGTACATGGATTTGAAGTCCAATGCCAAGAAATCTTGATGAAAGCATACATGTAATAAAAATTATTGAAGGTTGACAAAATGATTTAGTTTTCAATATAGTGATAGAGGTTGACAACATACTGCCAACTGAAATGCTAAGCTTTAACCTCTGCTATTGAAACTGCTAATTTTAAGCATTACTTACCACTTCGAGAGTACTCTATTTTACAGTAACTCAAAAGTATCATGTGAACATATGAAATATCTTTCAATATAAAGTTTTAAAAGTAATGTTGGTGCCTTTGTTTCTAAGAAAACCCCACCAGTCCTGCCCCTCCCAGTATTTCTGCCAGCACTGGATTTTCCCCTGCACCATCTCTCACAGATCAGATGTCTGTAGACTCCGGATTCAGGAAACCAAACACAACATCTACTGGAAATGGTAATCTAAGCATCAGTATCAAACAAATCAGAAGGAAATTGCTGTTGATTTTAATGTTTATTAGACAGGGACATTTTCATTTGCTTAAAATGCTATTTGTTGCTGTTGCAAAGTTTCAAATCCAAGTGCTACTTTTTAGGTCACCTGAGTCACTCAGGTGACCTATTGCTATCCGTTTTTGTCCGTCGTCGTCCATCGTGCGTCGTGCGTTAACATTTAAACATTTTCAGCTTCTTCTCTGAAACCGCTCAACCAATTTCAACCAATTTTGGCATATAGCATCTGTGGGTGAAGGGGGACAAAAATTGTGAATTTCATGGTCCCTGCCCCCCTGGGGCCTGAGGGGTGGGGCTAAAACCACCAAAATTAATGCAATCTTTAAAAATCTTCTTCTTTACTCCTGGACATTAAGCAGTCAAACTGTTGACATGATTGTAATTAACATTGAGCCCTCTACCTAAATTGTGAAATTCATGGCCCCGGGGTCAGGGGTTCTGGTGCTAGGGCGGGGCTATATAGATCGTATAGTGAAAGTGCATTATTTCTTTGAAAATCTTCTTCTCTACTCCTGCGTGTTATTGAAACAAATTAAATGCATAGTTATGATAAGCAAGAGTGATTCTACCAAAATTGTGAAATTCATAGCCCCAGGGTCAGGGGTTCTGGTGCTAGGGCGGGGCTATATAGATCATATAGTGAAAGTGCATTATTTCTTTGAAAATCTTCTTCTCTACTCCTGGGTATTATTGAAACAAATTAAATACATAGTTATGATAAGCAAGGATGCCTCTTCCAAAATTGTGAATTTCATGGCCCCTGGATCAGGGGTTCTGGTGTTAGGGTGGGGCTTTATTTATTATATAGTGAAAATGCATTAATGCTTTAAAAATCTTCTTCTCTGCTCCTTGGTATTATTTAAACAAATTAAGTACATTGTTATGATAAGCAAGGATGCCTCTTCCAAAATTGTGAAATTCATGGCCCCAGGGACAGGGGTTCTGGTGCTAGGGTGGGGCCATATAGATCCTATAGTGAAGGTGAATTATTTCTTTAAAACTCTTCTTCTCTTCCCCTGGGTATTATTTAAACAAACTAAGTACATTGTTATGATATGCAAGGATGCCTCTTCCAAACTTGTGAATTTCATGGCCCCAGGGTCAAGGGTTCTGGTGAAAAGGGGGGGGGGGGGGCTCTATTGATTATATAGTGAAAAAGCAAATTTTTTCTGAAAACATTCTTTTCTGCTTCTGGTTAAAAAGCAAAGAAGCTAGTGTATAGTTATGATGAGCAAGAGTGCTTCTTCCAGAGTAGTGAATTGCATGACTCCTGGGTGAGATGTGCTGGTGCAAGGGTGGGGCTCTTGATAATATAGTGAAAATGCATTATTTCTATTAAATAATCCTGTCTGCTCCTCAGTGTTAAGCAGATAAACAAAGTGATTACTTATGATGTGCAAATTTCTGGTCCCAGGGTGAGAGGCTCTGATGTTTCTCGATGGAGGGGGGGGGGGGTCTATTGATAATATAGTGAATCTGTAGTAAAAATGCATTATTTCTTTAAAAATCTTCTGTGCACATGGGCATATCAGAGGCAAAAAGAGTAAAAGTTTTAATAAGGAAGGGTATTTTTACCAGATATTTGAACATCTGGACCATTTAGTCAAGTGTTCTGGTCCTAGCTAGGGCACTATTAATTTGTAATCTACCGAGAGGAGTTATTCCCCTTTGCCATTTACTTTTGATAATTAATCACTGTAAATAATGTACTTGAAAGGTTAATAGAATAAGAGAATTATGCAAGAATTTTTATTGTATAATACAAAAAGTACTTTCATAGTTTTAATGATCAGGTAGACTTGTAAGTAATAGATAAATAAAATGAGACAAAAATAACTTGTCTTATTAAATGTTCATCAAAGATCAAGAGAGGCCAATGTAAGAGATTTCAACAAGGAATTAAGATGGTACAGAAGCAGTGATATTTTGTTAATTTAATGTATGGTGGAAGTGTTAAATGAGGAACAGATTAGAACCTAATTTATGAACTTTGAATGAATGCTAGACTAATTATTTTTTTTATCCTGATCACTCTATTTTTCTTGCTTTTGGGCAACAAAGCTTCACGTTTCAGTTCATTTTATACTCTATGGATCCTCTAAATTGTTGTAGTATACCCAGGTGACCGTTAAGGCCCTTGGGCCTCTTGTTCTTTGTAATAAGTACAAACTAGTAGAGCTACAGTCTCATTAGAGACTTCTGGTTTTGTTTCTTTCAGTTTTTTTAGGTCACCTGAGTCACTCAGGTGACCTATTGCTATCTGTTTTCGTCCATCGTCGTCCGTCGTGCGTTAACTTTTGAACATTTTTAACTTCTTCTCTAGAACCGCTCAACCAATTTGAACCAAATTTGGTATATAGCATCTATGGGTGAAGGGGAACAAAAATTGTGAATTTCATGGTCCCTGCCCCCCGGGGCCTGAGGGGTGGGGCTAAAACCACCAAAAATAATGCAATCTTTAAAAATCTTCTTCTTTACTCCTGAACATCAAGAAGTCAAACTGTTGGCATCATTGTAATAAGCATTGAGCCCTCTACCAAAATTGTGAAATTCATGGCCCCAGGGTCAGGGGTTCTGGCCCCAGGGTGGGGCTATATAGATCATATAGTGAAAGTGCATTATTTCTTTGAAAATCTTCTTCTCTGCTCCTGGGTATTGAATAAAGTTACTAAGTACATAGTTATGATGAGCAAGAGTGCCTCTTCCAAAATTGTGAAATTCATGGCCCCAGGGTTAGGGGTTCTGGTGTTAGGGCGGGACTCTATTGATTATATAGTGAAAATGCATTAATTCTTTGAAAATCTTCTTCTCTGCTCCTGGGTATTAAACAAAGTTACTAAGTACATAGTTATGATGAGCAAGAGTGCCTCTTCCAAAATTGTGAATTTCATGGCCCCAGGGTCAGGGGTTCTGGTGTTAGGGCGGGGCTCTATAGATTATATAGTGAAAAAGCATTAATTCTTTGAAAATCTTCTTCTCTGCTCCTGGGTATTAAATAAAGTAACTAAGTACATAGTTATGATGAGCAAAAAAGCCTTTTCGAAAATTGTGAATTTCATGGCCCCAGGGTCTGGGGTTCTTGTGTTAGGGCGGGGCTCTATTGATTATATAGTGAAAATGCATTAATTCTTTGAAAATCTTCTTCTCTTCTTCTGGATATTTAATAAAATAACTAAGTACATAGTTATGATGAGCAAGAGTACCTTTTCCAAAATTGTGAATTTCATGGCCCCAGGGTCAGGGGTTCTGGTGTTAGGGCGGGGCTCTATCAACTATATAGTGAAAATGCATTAATTCTTTGAAAATCTTCTCCTCTGCTCCTGGGCATTAAGGTGATAAACTAAGTACATAGTTATGATGAGGAGGTAGGCCTCTTTCAGAATTGTGAAAGCCATGGCCCCTGGGTCAGGGGTTCTGGTGTTAGGACGGGGCTCTATTGATTATATAGTGAAAATGCTTTAATTCTTTGAAAATCTTCTTCTCTGCTACTGGAGACTATTTAAACAAACTAAGTGCATGGTTATGATGCATAAGGATGCCTTTTCAAAAATTGTGAATTTCATGGCCCCAGGGTCAGGGGTTCTGGTGTTAGGGCGGGGCTCTATTGATTATATAGTGAAAATGCATTGATTCTTTGAAAATCTTCTTCTCTGCTACTGGAGATTATTTAAACACACTAAGTGCATGATTATGATAGACAAGGATGCCTCTTTCAAAATTTTTAAATATATGGCCTCAGTTTTTGGGATTCTTGGGGGGGGGGGGGGGGGGGGGCTCTATTGATTATATAGTGAAAAAGCATTAATTCTATTAATTAATCATTAACTAATCCTGTCTGCTCCTTAATGTTGAGCTGATAAATAAATTGCTTAGCTATGATGAAAATGGGAGCTTCGAACAGAATTTTTAAATCTTGTGGTCCTAGGGTCAGGGGTTCTGGCATAACGAGGGCAGGGGGGGGGGGGGGGGGCTTTTGATAATATAGTGGAAAAGTGTTAATTCTTTGAAATCCATAGTTATGATGATGAGGGTAACTCTTCCAAATTTGTAAATTTCTTGACCCTTGGTCTTGGGTTCTGGTGTTAGGGTAAGGCTTTGTTGAATCTGTAGTGAAAATGCATTGTACCTGTGAAATTCTTCTCTGCTTCTGGGCATATCGGAAGCAAACTGAGTAAAAGTTTAAATGATATGAGTAAGCGTATTTCTACCAGATTTGTAAACATCTGGACCATTCGTCTAAGCATTCTGGTCCTGGGCAGTGCTCTATTAACTTGTATTCTACTGAGAGAAGTTATTCCCCTTTTCCAATCACCTTTGATAATTAATCACTGTAAATAATGTATTTGAAAGGTTAATAGAATAAGATAATTATGCAAGAATGTTTATCGTATAATTAAAAAAGTACTTTCTTAGTTTTAATAATCAGGTAGACCTGTAAGTAATAGATAAATAAAAATGAGACAAAAATAACTTATCTTATTAAAAGTTCTTCAAAGACCATAAGAGAGGTCAATGCTAGATGTCTTAATATGGGATTAAAAATAATACAGAAGCACTAATAGTTTGTTAATAGTCTGCATGGTGATAGTGTTAAGTGGGGGACAGATTAGAACTTAATTTATGAGTTGATACTGAATACTAGACTAATTATTTTGTTGATCCTGATCTTCCTTCTTCTCTTGCTTTAGGGCAACAAAGCTTCATCTATCAGTGTATTTAACTTCTAAATTGTTGTGTTATACTCAGGTGACCGTTAAGGCCCATGGGCCTCTTGTTTAATTTTTGTTTTCTTGTTTATCTCTTTGTCAGAAAGATTGGTTGGACTGTAAAACCTTTGTTTTGTTTTGTAGCACTTAGTAACCAGGACCAAGGCAACCCCATACAGTCCATGCCATCTCCCCAGCAGCCCCTTAATCAGCCATCCCCCTCTCCTCAGATTCCCCTACAACACAGTCCAATGCCCCAGCAACCCCAGCAACAACCTCAGCCGCAACAAATCGTACCACAGCAAATGTCAAATCCAATGCCGCCACAGTCACAGTATGACCCACTAAAAATGGTGGGTTCAGAAGACAATATTTTTTTTCCTTGTTAAACTTTTTTACAGTAAAGTGGTTGGAATGCTAAAGTAGTGGAAATATTAAAGTTACTTATACATGTAGTTTTAATCTTCTGATTTGAATTGGCACGTGTTTGTATGTTTCTGGGAATGAGAACCATTCTGTTATAATTCTCTTTGCCGAGATATAAAAGTCTGAAACACTTTGTTTATCGTTTAGAATCCCATGCAATCCATGGATACTAGTATACAGAATAGAAGCACAGGTTAGTTTTTAAAAGCTGTATTTTTTTATTTTTTTTGCTTTTTTTTAAACTCATTGTTAATGATGCTTTGTATTTTATGTAATGAGTTCATTGAAAATTCTCAGCTCTGAACTATGTGTGCATGTATATTTGATTTAATTTCAAAACTGAAATTACAATGAGGAATTTACCAATGTTTTGTTCTATATACTGGTACATATAAGTGTATGATTTTGTTAGCCATGGTTACCAATCCCACAAGTCAACCAATGTTCTCGCAACCCACCCCAGACCAGCAACCAAATGCCGGAATGCCGGCCCAGCCAGGACAACCCAATCCTATGAAAGACAGAAAAATCATATGGCAGGGGATGTTAGAGTGGCAGGAGAAGATGAAAGCTGGAGGACCTCAGACCCCGAAAGTCAACAGACAGCTGCAGTGTCACTTGTCTATAGGGCAGGCTGATCCAGACATGTATGTAATATACAGTCAACTTCAGCTGATCCAGACATGTATGTAATATACAGTCAACTTTCAGCTGATCCAGACATGTATGTAATATACAGTCAACTTTAGCTGATCCAGACATGTATGTTATATACAGTCAACTTTAGCTGATCCAGACATGTATGTAATATACAGTCAACTTTAGCTGATCCAGACATGTATGTAATATACAGTCAACTTTAGCTGATCCAGACATGTATGTAATATACAGTCAACTTCAGCTGATCCAGACATGTATGTTATATACAGTCAACTTTAGCTGATCCAGACATGTATGTAATATACAGTCAACTTTAGCTGATCCAGACATGTATGTAATATACAGTCAACTTCAGCTGATCCAGACATGTACAGGGGTGTGCAATTACAAAAATTAGTTACTAGCCCGTTGGGCTAAAGGCAGTAACAAAGTTACTAGCCCGAGGTTGCCAGTCACTAGCCCATTAACTACTGCAAACAATATATGTATAAGTGTAAAAAGAGGTAAAAAAAAAAACCCATATAAGTTGAAATAAATAAAACAAATAATGGTTTGCACTTTGTTATTTTCAGGTACTTCTCCCTATTTTTATCGACTATAATTGTCACTGAAACGACTGCGATAGCAACACACAATACATATAGGTTAAAACAAATTAAAGATTATGATTTTACAACAAATTTAATTTGTACATCAATTCAGTAGATGAAAATATAAGTATACTTTCGTTTTAGATATACTAGTCCAACGGGCTAACGCAGTATAGATTTATCATAGCCCGACCTCTAAAATTGATAGCCCCGGGCGTCGGGCGATGGTAATTGCACACCCCTGATGTATGTAATATACAGTCAACTTCAGCTGATCCAGACATGTATGTAATATACAGTCAACTTTAGCTGATCCAGACATGTATGTAATATACAGTCAACTTTAGCTGATCCAGACATGTATGTAATATACAGTCAACTTTAGCTGATCCAGTGTTTCTTGTCTAGTCTTCCTTCTCAAAAGGATTAAATTTTTAAATTAATTTTGAAAATTTGCATCATAATGGGCAATTACATTTATGTTAGTCGGCAAACGCATAGAATTCCTATTACTTGAAATAACTTTTCTTTGGTTGTTCCCGGTACAATATTGAGGTTCTTACCAATCAATATTTCTTGAATATGTTTTAATGTACAGTATATTGCAACACGATTTCTTACTCTTTTTTTCAGTAATGCCATGAATTGGCCTAAAGTTCTGATTATGCAGTTGATTCCTCAATCACTACTGAACTCAACCCAACTTCAGCCTCTCTTTAAAAACTCCCGCCAGGTGGCATTCCACTTTGGCAGTCAGAATCTGGATGATCTTAGAAATCTCTACAAAGTCATGGGTACTGGTTTTGTAAGTAAATTTAACAACAGTTTTTAAATTAAATTCATTACAGTAATCAGTGTTGAAATCTGTAATTCATTGATCCAAGATTATGTGAAATAGTTTGAGCTTCAAGAAATTTCCTTCTATAAAACAGTTTTCATGAGGCAAAATATACAATGTATTTTCAATTGGTAAATGTTTAGGTTACCAACAGTATATATGTACGTGCAGGGTTGTCTCCAAGAGTTGAAATAGAAGGGGACATTAAAAAAGTAGATGGGGGTCTGGGGTTCCTCTCCTAATGGAGAGTTTAGGGGGAATACCAAAATAACCAGGGGATTACTTCATTATAGGCGGAGAAATTCCCGGGCCCCCGGGGCTTGGGGAGAACCCTTTACATGTATATTAATAGTCACAGAGAAATTTGTTTCAGAGAGCACCCTATTAAGTAATTCTTTGTAAATTATCAGTTTGCCCCCCCCCCCCCCCCCCAAAAAAAAACCTTTGAAGCTCTGTATTTATACAAACCTTGTTTTCTTTATTCCTTTCAGGCTGGTTGTGTACATTTTCCAGCAGGAAGTCAGTGTGAAGTCAGAGTGCTTCTCTTGCTATTTAGCAATAAAAGAAAAGCTTTTATAGGACTCATTCCAAATGACCAAACAGCCTTTGTCAATGGGATAAGAAATGTCATCTTCACACACAAAATGAGGGTTGGTATAAATGTAGGATAATATTGTGACGAGATTGTCTTAACCCCCACCCCCCGACCTGTCCGTTCCCATTCCCATTTTGCAAATTTTTTTTTGGAAGGACTGAGAAATTGTATTTTTCATCCATTTTTAGCTCTACTGGTCAGAGACCAGAAGAGCTTATGCGATAGTAAGGTGCCCGGTGTCCGTACGTCTGTAAATTTTTCAAAATGCTACTCCTCCTACAGTTTTGGTCTGATTTCAATATAACTTAGCACATAAGTAGACTACACTAAGATACATAATTCTGTGTATCATTTTTTGATTTCAATGAACGGTGTTGCCATGGTTACTAAAAATAGAAATTTCTGTGAAAAACTTTCAAAACGCTACTCCTCCTACAGTTTTGGTCTGATTTAAATATAACTTGGCACACAAGTAGACTATACTAAGATACATAATTCTGTGTATCGGTTTTTGGTTTCAATGAACGATATTGCCATGGTTACTAAAAATAGAAATTTCTGTGAAAAAACTTTCGAAACACTACTCCTCCTACATGTACAGTTTTGGTCCGATTTCAGTATAACTTGGCAAACAAGTAGACTACACTAAGATACATAATTCTTTATATCTTTGATTTCGATGAACATTGTTGCCATGGTTACTAAAAATAGAAATTTCCTTGAAATACCTTCAAAATGCTACTCCTCCTACAGTTTTGGTCTGATTTTAGTATTACTTAGCACACGAGTAAACTACACTAAGATACATAATTCTCTGTACCAGTTTTGGATTTCAATGAACAGTGTTGCCATGGTTACTAAAAGTAGAAATTTTCTTGAAATACTTTCAAAACGCTACTCCTCCTACACTTTTTGTCTGATTTCAGTATAATGTGGCATACAAGTAGACTACACTGAGATACATAATTGGTGATATTGGTTTTTGATTTTGTTGAATGATGTTGCCATGGTTACTTAAATTGAAATTTCTGTAAAATTGTTTTAAAAGGCTACTCCTCCTACAGTTTTAGTCTGATATGATAATAAATCTAGCCACAAAAGAGACTAAACTAAGGATCATTATTCTATTTATTGCTGTTGCAAAGTTTCAAGTCCAAATGCTACTTTTATCTTCCTTTATAAGTACAACCAGTAGAGCTACAGTCTCATCAGAGACTTCTTGTTCTGTCCATCCCACTTCTTATCTGGACTCTTATCTTTTTAATGGTGAAACATTAGAAGCTAATACTGAATGCATGACAGGTTTGACATGAAGGTGGGTCATAACCTTAGAAGATATATCCATTTTTTGGAGAAATGAAAAGGGTAAAATCCTTGCAATATGGAAACTGAATAGCATCCCAGAAAGTTTGTTTATGGTATGATGGTGTGCCAAGACCATGGGCCAAGGTCAATCTATAAAGTTCAAAGTCATGTGAATCAAAAGTCTAGAATTCTGTGGTCCGATAGTTTTAGTGCTTAGACTCTGAACGAGTTTGCACGTGACCTTCGAATGTGTCATAGCCCAGAGCAAAATTATTTGGATAAGATTGAGATAGCAATCAAAGGTTAAATCCTTTTCAGATGCATGCCATTAACCATTAGTCCATTTAAGACAGACATAGCTTAAGGAAACAACAGTGAAGTGCTCTGTATGTCATGATGAGGTTTTGAAGAACAAATAAAGATACAATCTACATTAACACAAAATAAGGATGTATTCAAAATTTCAGAAGAATTGACCTATAGGAGAGAACAATTTCCTGGAAAAAATCAACATTCATTCATTATTTTCTAGCGGATTTATGTCTACATTTTTCAAATTTGCATTTTGAACCTAAATTTTATTATTTACAATTTTAAAAATTAACCCTCAAAGTTGGCTAAAACAACATTTTTCCCATAAAAGCACCAATTTTTGCATGAATAGAAGTCCTTCGAATTCAGGGCAGGCCTACCCTTAAATAAAATCATTACGAGGACAAGAATTATTCACTTTGTGTTACTAAGAACAGGTAGTCTTGTCTGCAGTGAGCTGCAATGGATTTCTGTTGTATATACTTTTGATTAGGTAAAAAAAAATAATCAATAGTTTCTCAGGCACTGCCATATCTGGTCAAAAACTGCCACATAGATCAATTTTATTGACATATTGAAAAGGGAAATAACTCAATTTTCTATTTTTCCAAGTTGAAAAAGAAAATTGAGTTATTCCCCTTGTCATCCATGCCTAAAGATAGATGTTTTTATCATGTTTATCAAATTAGCAATAAATTTCTTGTTAATGGATATTTTTTAATTAGCTTTAAAACAAATGTTTGGAATAACATCATTTAAAGTTAAGTATATTTTATAATTAACATTAGAGAACAAAAAAAAGTAAGAATCAGTTGATATCAACATTTTGTTGAACGACTGACATGAAAAGAGCTTTTTTTGTGAGATAGTAAGGATCTTACTATAGAAGCACCCTCAGATAGTGTAGATTCAAATTTGTTCAAATTTAGGGTAGGTAGGGTGGGGTCACAATGAGCAATCAGAGTTTTACATCCGGATACATAGGAAAAAATCTTTAAAATTCTTCTGCTCAAGAAAGCAAAGCCATGATAAGTAATTAATATTGATTTGGAAGCATCCTGAGGTAGTGTAAATTCAAGTCCCCCCCCCCCCCCCCCCCCCCCCCCCCCCCCCCCCGTAAACAGTAGAGCTACATATCAATAACTGCACTACTTGGAATTTTATTTATATAAACTGGATACATCACTGACATTTTTATTATTTCTGCAGAAATGTGTTGTAAAATACATGTGCATCAAGAAGAGAAATCTTACCATAGACATTACCATTACAATGAAAAGTGTATGTAAAGGTTCCTCCAATCTCTACATACTATATGCATTGATTAGAAATAAAATTGTCTAACTATGAGAAGTGAATTACTACATGTATCAGACTTAAGTCATTGATTGAAACTGAAATCAATAAGATTTTTGTAAAGACTAAAACCAATTCCTGCCTTATAGGTCTGTGCTCCATTTGAAAGGATGTAATCCTTTAATTATTTTTTGTTGTCATAGCAACAACAACAACAGAGACAAGACCAACCACAACAAATGCAACAGCAACAACCATTTCCAGGGCAGCAGCAGCCAGGCATGCCAGCCCAACCAATGCAGAATCCTCAGGGGGCTCAGTTTGGGGTATGTCAAAATCTCCTCAACTTCAAAGAAAACCTGTCAATTTATTTATCATTTGCTAGCAGTGATAAATAGAGGATGTCAAGATAAATATAGCATCTCCCATGATTTGTAGTTGGATATGACTTTTATCCAACGAGTTGTGTGTTTTTTATCCCCGAGCCTTGGCAAGGGGATAAGAACACACAACGAGTTGGATAAAAGTCATATCCAACTACAAATCATGGGAGATTCTTTTTATCCGATGTTTAATACTTCACAACCAATGTTTTAAACTGTTTTATATAGAGGACTCCACTTTATTTTACTTCATCACGCTAACGCAAAAACCATTGTGACGTCACAACTGCACTTAACTGTGGGATATGAAAAAAATATCCAATGAGTCATATCCACGGGATAAAGGGGTAAACATGTGATAAACACTGGATTTGTTATGGAAGGTTTATTATATTAAGGTATGTCACTCGTGAAATTTGTTATATCAAGGATTTTTTGAGAAGTATATTTTGGATAAGTACTCATATAGTATGACTCAAAATCGCAGAGAAAATGGGGGGTCAGTGTGCATCTAACTGAGCTACGGTACAATTAAGTTGACCTTTTTGCACTTAAATTGTAACTCTTTGGTTAATCACTTTAACCGTTATCATATTTTATAAGATGTAACCATGGCAATAAACATAATTTTATTTTACGTAAAATAGTTTGAATAATATCTATCATTGAACAAATCATGCAAATTGATGCGCGTAAATTATCGTGTGTCCTTTTTGCACTAAAAAAGTCTCATATTTGGGGTATTAAAAATCTAAATAGGCAATAGAATATTTTCTTGTATCAAACTTTTTACGACTTAAGTGCTGATCAGTGAAAAGTATCGAGTAGTTTAAAATAATGAAAGAAAAAGTTGGGGTCAGTGATGTAAATTTTGAAATATTGGTCAAAATATGCAATTTCAAGCAAAAAAGCTGTGTAAATTTTATCTCGACTTCCTTAATATATCTTCATTTCTTGGCAATGTTTGTTGAGCGAAGGTGTAAATTTTGTTATAATAATATAAATTGAGACCTATATTTAATATTCCAGGCATATCATAACGGAAAATATTCTCTGAGTAAAAGTATGTGAGGCTAAAGTTCCAAGATATTAAATTTAATAAATGTGTAGATTTGCAGAATTTTCTGCTAAATATCCTTCCGCCACAAGAAATAGTCCCTTATAAATCTTGCTTCTTTGTGAATTTTTGAGCAGTTTTTTAATTGAATGTTGAACATTTTACATTGTTTAATTTAAATATGTTATAAAGATTGAATTGTAATAAATAGTTTTTAAGTAAGAGGTTCTGACTGAAATTTTCTAAAAGGCTGACGAGTGACATACCTTAAGGGAATAATCTGGAGTTAAAAACATTTTTAAATATTTAATTCATATAACATTTAATCTTATCTCACTTGGTTTAAATGTTACAGACCAATATGATAGATAGTTTATTTGTATTTTACAATACATGTACAGGTAAACTTCGGTATCTCGACATCGGATATGTCGACAACCTGGGATATGTCGACGTCCGTCCGCGGTCCCGGCAGTATTTACTATATAAATGATTTGCAAAAACTCTGATATGTCGACCTCAGTAATCTCGACAACCCTGGTTATCTCGACGTATATTCACAGTCCCAAGAGCAAAATTTACCTGGTATATGTTGACATCGGCAATTTTCTGCTCCACTGAACCTAACTGTTTGTCAGATAGGGTCGCTTGTCACGCACGGACAGCTTCGGGTATCTCGACGTCGTCAAAAATTTACACCTTTCACACCCATGTTTTGACTGCACGCTGCTTAATTAATTCTATAGACTGTGTTTGTAGGTGAATCCAAAGCCCCCCCCCCCGGCGTCTTTGAGACGTTAATTGCTTAATGTTCAGCTTGGGTAATATCACTGATAAATCTACACGATTCTGCTTAAATTTACAGGCGTTTATTTATGTCGAAACCTAACATAACTTTTAAAACTGAAAAAAGATAACTAAATTACAAAGAATAATAAACATATTGAATAAATTCAAACTAAAGAATTAAACGATGTTCTAATAATATTTCGTAGTTAAAATGAATTCAACAGGAAATAATCCGATTAACGACACGATTAACCGAATCATCCGTAATTCATGCATCTGTGATATCACTACGTTAGTTTAGATACACAAATCTCTTAAAAAATTAATATTAATGCACATTCTTCCTGAATGAAATAAGAAAAAAAAAATAATTACGCACTTAATATGTTTTCGTATCTCGGATGTCGACTTTAATTTATCATGTTTATACGGTTCGATCCAAGTTTATAGAGCGCATTTCGTATCCTGTTCTGACAAAAAAGCAAGTAACATGCGAATGCTGAATGGAAAACTACAAAAATTTAGAACGATTTCGATAAAGAGAAAGAACAGGTTTTATAAATAAGATTTTTAAAAATAATTTCTTAGATTTTTAATAAAAATAGAGGGATTGCTGAAATAAGTTGACCTACAGTCTCTATTGAAGTCATGTACGTATAATAAGTTTATACACGTGTATGTGTTTGGTTATGCAGTGAAATCTTGGACGTCAAGTCTCAACTCTGATATCTCGACACCTCGGATATCTCGACATTTTCCGATGGTCCCGTCGATGTCGAGATAACGAAGTTTACCTGTATATACAAACAATGTACAGTCAAACCTCGTTATCTTGAACCCAAGGGGACCAAGAAAATACTTCGAGATATAGGAGGGTTCGAGATATTAAGGCTAATATGCTTAAGGAATAAGCGATTGGGACTTCCAAATCACTTCAACATATCTTTGGTATTCGAGATATCGGTTTTTGAGATACCGAAATTCAACTGCACTTGTATTATATATATATATATTGTGTATTGCTTTAACTTCCAGGTACAGCAGATGCCACAGGTGAGCATGCAGAACCCCATGATGACCCAGCAGCAGGCCAATATGGTAGTTACAGATTTCTCTGTAGGGTTGAGAAATATATATGCAGTGAAATATTACTTGAGTATTCTATATTTATAGTAAGTAACATTTGTAATTGTTTCTTTAGCAGAAGCAAATGCAGGCAACACAGTTAGCAAAGCAACAAGAGCAACAAAAGTTACTAGGTAAGTAATAGAGGCATGATACCACATCAAATGTTTAGAAGTTTTTGCTCTAACTGTGTATAATGCATGAGCAGAATCTATGGTATCTTACACATTAGATAGAACATTGATTACAATAAGTGATAGATAAGAATTGTGCTTAGTAGTCCACCTTGTTGCAGCACAACAGAGACTACAAATACAACAACAACAGAGACAACTTCAGATGCAGCAACAAATGCAACAGCAGCAACAACAGCAACCTGGTCTCAATCAACAGCAACAACAATTGACACAGCTCCTGATGCAGCAGGTATAAAAGGAAAACATGTAAAGAGGAATTTAATTCTTGATTGTTACACAAACATTGGTGTGTAGTCTTTTATTCCTTCTCTTAGCCACAAGTAAAATATATTTAGAATTGCATTTAAGTCTCATCATTCCAGCAACAACAAGGACAGAGACAACCCCAGATGATTATTCCTCATGGGGGGAGGGGGCCAGTCCTACACCAAGGCCAGCAGCAAGTAATGGGAGGTGGACAGGTGCTCCAGGGAAACATGCCCCAGATGGCTCAGCAGGGCCCCGCCACAGGACCCCAGGGGGGTAACATGTTTGATGATCTGGATATGACCTTCTTGAGCTAACACTTAAGACTTTATGATCTTTGGATATAAATGTTTTTGGTTACCTGAACATGTGTGTTAGCTTCAAGGGGATTGTTTGCCCTGGAATCAGTGATCTGGTTCTAGTTAAAGCTTCCATGCTTATATACATGTAAAATGTGATTTAGGTATACAGGCATACCTGTACAATTTGCTAGATCAGTGAAGTTTGAGTCTTTTTATTCTGTAAATGAAAATTGTTGTAAAAAATTATTATACAAAATAAAGTGCAATACATCTTTCAATTTTTTTTTAAACTTTTTTTAGTTGTCTTACATTAAATACCACAGGCACTTGTTTCTGTATTAAATTGTTTAACCCATAGTATAACACATAATAATGTTATTATTATAGTATGGGTTAAAAAATTTATTACAGAAACAAGTGACTGTTATACATACCCTAGCCAAACATTCCATTCAATTTTCTTTTCAAATTTGGATATATTTCAGGTGTAAACACGACTCGTGAATAGCCCATATGCCATATTAGTTTTCCTTAGTGTTGTCAAATCGAACGATTTTTAGTAACCGGTTACTCGCTTACTTTTCTGATCGAGTACCCGGTTACTCGGATGATTTTTCGTTACAGTTTCTATATCTATTATTTATCTCATCCTTTAAATTACCTATCGGTAGAAATAAAACACAAATGTACTGCATGTATATGAACTTAAACGCACACACACACACACACATCTTTAAAGAATTTTGATTTTAGATGTCACTCGAAACGGGCAGTTTGTTTTTGTTAAAAAAAATAATTTTATCGACACACAAAGAAGACAACAGATTTTATAGTCGTCAATCACTATTTTTGCAATGGCTCTCGTTACATTTCAGCCCCCCCAAAATTTGTCGCGATCAAGAAGAATTTAATTGAAACTGGTTGATTTGTAGAGTTTCCAGTATATCGATGGTTTCCGAATAATGTTTTAATCTTATATGTTTAAACGTATTTGTAGTCCCACCCGTTTACGATAACTCTGATTCACATAATTTACATTTTACAGATCTCAAATCAGCTATTCTTTTAAAATACTTCCAAGCTTTATACGTTTGTGGCGGCATCTTATTAAATTATATTTCGTTGACTAGCACAGGTGTAAATGAGGTAATTATAACTCAGGTCTTCAACATTTTTATACCCCCCGGCAATCAAAGCTATCAATTATACAAACTGTGAAAACTAATCAAAACCAATCCATCCTATTTGTGAACCACTAGATCAAGTTTAACAGTAAATAAATTTAAGGAAATGTGTTATACATTTATAAGCAATATAACATTTATTTTCTACGTATTTATTATGTAAAATGTATTTTTATCCGAGTAACCGAATAGCAGTTTTACTAACCGATACTCGCATCGTTCGACGGTTAATCGGGTACTCGTTGACAACACTAGTTTTCCTTTATCCAATGTCAGCACTTAGTGTATATACAATGTATATCCTTTGCATTCATTACATCTAATTTCACACCTTGAACTTATGGCTGGCATGTTGGATTTCTTACATCGTCTTTTAGTATTTACATTTTGTGTTGTTTTACATGCATTTGCATCTGTTCATAATGCATTGAACTGTGAAATTGATGTTACTTTTTCTCCTGACATGGTGTAGTTGTGTATCTGTATACATTTTATATTTTTATCAAGACCAAGTAACAATGGCGGTGTTAGATATGTCCACTCGGATGTGATCTCTACAGTGAAATACTTTGATCCATGAAGAAGTTGTAGGCTTACATGTATATATCAAGACCAAGTAACAATGGCGGTGTTAGACATGTCCACACAGGTTTGATCTCTACAGTGAAATACTTTGATCCATGAAGAAGTTGTAGGCTTACATGTATATAGGGGCTTGAAAATTGAGACTAGTGGAGAGAAATATGGCAAACAAGAATGAATCTCTTCCTTTTACAAGTTGAGTTAAGCTTAAATACTTTTAATTTCTTGATCATATAAATAGAGCCATTCTCATCAAAACTTGGCACAAAGTATCTTTGGGGAATAAGGGGAATTATAGCTACTTCATAATTATCCTCAGCCATGAAAGAAAAATCCAGCACAAACTGCTATTTCAAATAAATTTGAGAAAGTACCCGATGAAGGTTTTTAAATATTTTTTGAAACATAACATCTAAGAAAAATACTGTAGAGTCCATCCTTTTGGTTGAGAACATGGGGATTGATTTCAATGTTGAATAAGAAACATGATCCTGTAGATTGAAATTGGAATTGTATCTAAGATAATATGGAAAATTGATTGATGAAATTGATCTGATCTCTACTTATCAATGGAGACCTGGAGCATTTGACCTTTTAATCCGACAATGAATATGAATCTACTGTGGTAGCATTCTCTTCTTTGCAAAGTTGATGAATGCAAGGTGGATGTTCTCTAGCTGTGGTTGGAGATTGACATTGCTTTAGACTACACAGACAATATTACTGTACAAAAAATATATACCACTATCATTCTAGGGAGGCAGGAAAAATGTGTGGCAAATTTTTTATGCATAGAAAGTCAAAACATAGTACTTAAAAGTATTTATTATAAATTTATGTCATAAAAGAAATACATTACTGTAAGTAGTTAGTACTGATTAAATCATATTGCTGTGTTTAAAATAATTTTTAAAAATTCTAAGACCTTTAAAAATGCACTAAAACAAATAGGACACAAAATAAACATGACAGATAAAATCACATAAATTTAACTATACCCTGTAAGCTTATTTTTTACTTACAAAATCACTCAAAAGAGATATCAAAGGATATTTAGTAAAACACATATCATACATGTATTACAATGTACAATCATGTACAAAACAAATACAGACACAGATCATATAAAATCATGTGTTTCAAAACAATAACGTAAATAAATCAATGATATTATAGAAGAATCACAGGTAAAAATCTGAATACTCTAGATATCACTCAAACACATGAACTTGTACACATGTACCAAACACTGATATGTTTTGCAAAGAGAAAGAAGGAGAAGATGTTTTTTATGATCAAGTTAAGCTTGAAATGTCCTTGTTCACAGCTTGCTAGAGTCCTTATCTAGTCAACTGGCTTGTTTCTGGGTCAACAGCTCAGCAATCTTGTCAATGAACTCAAACGTGTTCAGGTAATCTGATCTCTGGACACTAAAATTAAAAAAAAAAAGATACTTATCCTCCTAACCACTGATTACAAGAATGTTCATGGTATATGTATGTGCTGAATATGACGGACACAATATTTCTCTCCATATTTCTTACTTGGTGCAATGAACTGTTCCATTTTTATATACTCACAGTTTGTAAATTCTCCTCGAATAAATAAAATACCGTATTTAAAGTAAAGTTTTATATTATATTATTACGCATTTTTTATTATAATTGTAGATGCACACCCTTACTGTAGAAAAAGTATTCTACAAATTATACTGCCAACTCATTTGTTCATGCCTTGACACAGATCATACTGCCTACTCAATTGTTCATACCCATGATACAGATAATACTGCCTACTCACTTGTTCATGCCTTTGACAAGATAATACTCCCTACTCAATTGTTCATACCCATGATACAGATAATACTGCCTACTCACTCGTTCATGCCTTTGACATGGATAATACTGCCTACTCACTTGTTCATGCCTTTGAGAGAGATAATACTTCCTACTGGCTTTTTCATGCCTTTGACAGAGATAATACTGTCTCTTACTTGTTCATGCTTTGACACAGATAATACTGCTTACTCACTTGTTCATGCCTTTGACACAGATAATACTGCCTACTCACTTGTTCATGCCTTTGACACAGATAATACTGCCTACTCACTTGTTCATGCCTTTGACACAGATAATACTGCCTACTCACTTGTTCATGCCTTTGACACAGATAATACTGTACGTGTACATAATTTGGCGTATTCAAAATTAAGTGCAATCAATGGATATGCAGTTGTTGGCGTAATAATGAATTAGCGCTACACAAGTCCGTGCCGTATATTGTATTTGTAAATGATTATTTAGCGGTATTCATGAATTAGCGCATCATACTGTCTGTGCCAAAGCTGCTAAAATATGAAGCCCGCTTTTTTTAAGTACACATACAGTACTTCCTACTGGCTTGTTCATGCCTTTGACAGAGATAATACTGTCTCTCACTTGTTAATGCCTTTGACACAGATAATACTGCCTACTCACTTGTTCATGCCTTTGACAGAGATAATACTTCCTACTGGCTTTTTCATGCCTTTGACAGAGATAATACTGTCTCTTACTTGTTCATGCCTTTGACAGAGACAATACTGCCTACTCACTTGTTCATGCCTTTGATACAGACAATACTTCCTACTCACTTGTTCATGTGTTTGACACAGATAATACTGCCTACTCACTTGTTCATGCCTTTGACAAGATAATACTCCCTACTCACTTGTTCATGCCTTTGACACAGATAATACTGCCTACTCACTTGTTCATGCCTTTGATACAGACAATACTTCCTACTCATTCATGCGTTTGACACAGATAATACTGCCTACTCACTTGTTCATGCTTAGACACAGATAATACTGCCTACTCACTTGTTCATGATTGACACAGATTATACTGTTACTCACTTGTTCATGCCTTTGACACAGATAATACTGCCTACTCACTTGTTCATGCCTTTGATACAGACAATACTTCCTACTCATTCATGCCTTTGACACAGATAATACTGCCTACTCACTTGTTCATGCTTTGACACAGATAATACTGCCTACTCACTTGTTCATGCCTTTGACACAGATAATACTGTTACTCACTTGTTCATGCCTTTGACACAGATAATACTGCCTACTCACTTGTTCATGCCTTTGATACAGATGGCTAAATCTTTGGTCATTATGCCTGATTCAATGGTCTCTATACATGCCCTCTCAAGGTCATCGGAGAACTTCCTCAGGGCTTCATTCTTGTCTAGTTTGGCTCTGTGGGCAAGTCCTCGGGTCCAGGCAAAAATGGAAGCTTAAATGGAAGTTTTATACATGTAATTTTATGTCTTAGTTTTGTATACGTGTTTTTATATTACAAGGATTCTTTTAATACAAGGAAACATTAAAGAAAAAGAATGGTTAATTCTGAAGTACCGTACACAATGATTGCTTTAAAGCAAATTTACAATACATATATCAATTTCCTTTTCAACTGCTGACAAATATGACATTTACATAAATTTAATATAATCATTTACATGTTTGAAAGAATAACAATAATAAACTTTATTAACAGTTAAGGTGAGTAAATTTTAAAAAATGTTGAAATCATGTACAATGTGGTTTTATATATACTTCATTATGTTGATATGTCAATGTGTGCCAACAGTCCTTATATACACTGTATATGTATCAAAATTTCAGTCTAGAAATCTTGGAATATGTTTGCCAACTTTCTTATTTCAAACGTAAGGTAATTAATCTAAGCACCCAGTTTATTTCAGAGAAACCATACATAATTACTATAAATGGATCTTTACCTATGGAATTAGTTGATGTTTCGTTTCCTTTCTGATGTTGACGGAAATGCCTGGTTACTGTTCCGTGAGCAGCCTCGGCTTCGATGGTTTTACCATCGGGACAGACCAATACACTAGTCATCATTCCTAGGGATCCAAATCCTACAAACAATAGTAAAAATTTAAAAATTACACATAAACGTGTGTGACACTATGACAATTGACACATCTACTACACATTCATAAACTTTGGTGCTGTGCTATACATTTGAGAAAATTTCTGCACAAACCTTGAGCAACAGAATCAGACTGTACATCTCCATCGTAATTCTTACATGCCCAAACAAAGCCTCCTTCTGATTTCATGGCGTATGCTACCATGTCATCAATAAGTCGATGCTCGTACCAAATCTTTTTCTCCTCATACGCCTTCTTGTAATCTCTAAATACATGCATATTTATGAAGCCAATGTGTTTACTGTAAATGACTGAGAATGCTTGAAAGTATGTTTATACATTCAATATACTCACTGATCATAAATTTCTTGAAATATGTCCTTGAATCTTCCATCATATTTCTTGAGAATGGTATTCTTTGTGCTGGAAAAAAAAAGATGCAACATTATTACCTTTGATATATTGTGTACAACTGACAGATCCAATAATGCTTACTGGTACAAAACCAAAATCTTTCAATTCTTGTCTGCTGATTTGTAAACTTCAAGTGTGACTTACAAGACTAACACACTATTAACTACAATTTGCTACTGTAGATCACTAAACTTTCGCGACACTTTATTTTCAAGAGATAGTCAACGTCTCTTTATTAGCGAGACAGAATATTCACGAAATGTGGTTATTGCTCTAGATAATCATAAGGATTACTATTATACTATAGACAAGAATAAATTTTTTTGCGAGCACACAGTCTCGCGTAATTACATTAAAATAAAGATCTCGCAAATAAAAGGTGATTTACAGAAAGAGAAATATAATTTACCTCAAATATAGTGGCCATTCCTTTTGTAGAGCAAACTGGAAAGAACTGTGGGCAAATTCTCTTATACTCTGTAACACAACAAGAACAGAGTGTTTACAGTTTAAAATTTAAACTGTCCATGAAAATACTGCTTTTTGTAGAATTGAAAACTGCCCTCAATCTCATATGCTTTGACTATTGAATAATCTTGCTACAATTGGTTTTTCAAATAATTGACTTCCACATAATGTATACAGCTTTGATTCTAAACATGATTTTAATAGATTAGTATTTTCTTTTTCATTTTCTGAATTCAGCATTTTCTATCCTTTTACTGAACATTCACTGTCAAATTCGATTTATTTATCTACAACCTTATTTTCACTGTTTTAGCCTGCTTTAATGAGAGTGAAAATAAAACTGTAGTGAAAATAATGTTGTATATTCAACTAATCTATGCTGCTTTTAATGGTGTTTAGAGGTTATTAAATGTTTCATAATGTATACATGACCTGAAAAAATAATCTACAACTCTTATCTGTTCACATTATAATAGAAAATTTCTCATTTCAGAACAGTGACACACAAAAAAAATTAAGAAAGGTGACATATCGTGATACAGTCCCAATGTTTCATGATATACCATGATACACTTTAGCTGTATCGTTACAGCCCTAGTTCTTACCTTGTCTGTGTTGTACATGGCTAGAGCTACACCTCCTGACTCTGTAAAGTCAAACACGTTGTAGTTCTGTTCCTGGCCACCATTAGCTGGTGTGAACTTGATCTCTAGTTTACCTGGTCCAGGTACAACAAAATCTGTGGCACGGTACTATAAATAGAATTCATCGTAAATATGGTGGATTTAAACAAAATAAACTTGAACAAGCACCCAAATCTTGTTCTTAACTTTTACAGGATTATCTATTTTTTTCAAATGGGTGCAAAACTGTATTTTCTTTTCTAATAAACTATACAATAATGTTTCTGACCTGGTCTCCATAAGCATGACGGCCTATAATGATGCTTTTTGTCCATCCAGGTACCAGACGGGGAATGTTGCTACAGATGATGGCCTCGCGAAAAACTGTACCTCCTAAAATATTTCTAATTGTTCCATTGGGAGACTTCCACATCTTCTTCAAATTGAATTCTGAAAATATCAAATCAATGATTTAAATATAAAACTAAATTATTTTAGTGCAGAAATATAAATTAAATCCACTCTGTAATGTAAAATGTGGTACCTTCTACTCTATAAAGTATGGTACCTACCCTCCACTCTATAAAGTATGGTACCTACCCTTCACTCTATAAAGTATGTTACCTACCCTCCACACTATAAAGTATGGTACCTACCCTCCACTCTATAAAATATGGTACCTACCCTCCACTCTATAAAGTATGGTACCTACCCTCCACTCTATAAAGTATGGTACCTACCCTTCACTCTATAAAGTATGTTACCTACCCTCCACACTATAAAGTATGGTACCTACCCTCCACTCTATAAAATATGGTACCTACCCTCCACTCTATAAAGTATGGTACCTACCCTCCACTCTATAAAGTATGGTACCTACTCTCCACTCTATAAAGTATGGTACCTACCCTTCACTCTATAAAGTATGGTACCTACCCTTCACTCTATAAAATATGGTACCTACTCTCCATTCTATAAAGTATGGTACCTACCCTTCACTCTACAAAGTATGGTACCTACCTTCCACTCTATAAAGTATGGTACCTACCCTCCACTCTATAATGTATGGTACCTACCCTCCACTATATAAAGTATGGTACCTACCCTCCACTCTATAAAGTATGGTACCTACCCTCCACTCTATAATGTATGGTACCTACTCTCCACTCTATAAAGTACGGTACCTACCCTCCACTCTATAAAGTATGGTACCTACCCTCCACTCTATAAAGTATGGTACCTACTCTCTGAAATTCTGTGCAGCGATTTTTGAGGAGTTGCGCTGACAAAAAAACAGGACTGACTGACTGACAGACAGGTCAAAAACATTATACCTCACGCAACTTGCTGCGTGGGGTATAAATATGGTACCTACCCTCCACTCTATAAAGTATGATACCTACCCTCCACTCTATAAAGTATGGTACCTACCTTCCACTCTATAAAGTATGGTACCTACCCTCCACTCTATAATGTGAAATGCGGTACCTACCATACACTTTATAATGTAAAGTGTAGTACACACCCTAAATGATGTAGAATATGGTACCTACATGTACCCTCTAAAGGTGGTACTCAACCTTCACTCTGTAATGTACATGTTATATGTGGTACCTTCCTTCCATTCTACAATGTTAAATGTGGTAGCTACGGTACCCTCCACTCTATGATGTTAAAATCAGTACATACCCTCCACTCTTTTCTCATCTGGGGTAATAGTGGCACACTTAATTCCTACATTGTACTTCTTAATAGCATTGGCAGCATCAATTGTTACTGAAAAAATGTACAGATATTTTCAACACAAATAAGGGAACCAGGTGCCCATTTTACAAAAGAATTAACTTACGACTAAGACCAAAAACTTGAGTTGATTGTAAAATTTTGAAAAATTAATGTTTCTTTTTAAAATAGCTAGCATAAAGATATCTTACTACATTCCTTTTAAAAAGATTAAAACCATTTTCAATATTACGTAAATAAAAAGTTATATTAAGCAGAATTAAATTTTGGTCTTCGTCGTAAGTTCTTTTGTAAAACGGGTCCCAGTACTATATAAATTAGTATCTCAAATACTGTTATATGTCATTAATCCAAAGATTTCAAAATGAATCTTAGGTCCAGACCTTATTAAAATTCAATTATCAACTTTCTCAAATTGTCAACTCATTTAATATGAATCCTCCAATATCTTGATGAACTTTGGGAGTCTTGATTCAAATTCCAAATGGTAAACTTTGCCTCATTCAAGTATTAAATATTTCTTACTATCATTATTATTCCCTTAAAATATCTTGCTCTATCACAGAATTACCAGGTTTAAAGCATGTAAATAAATTTATTTTAGCCAAAATTTTAAACTCAATTAGATGCAATATATCTATATATATGTACAGTCTGAAATGTTGAAATATTGACACTTCTGGTTTTTAATGCTGTATTATTTTGAGCAATATACCCCCTACTGAGGAAAATCCTTCATTGTTAAGTTGTGTATACCCTGTGGTAATATTATGTAACTACTGGGTAACAGCTGTTATATCACTCTATACCTTGGTCATCTGTAGCGTCTCGATTTTCCATTCCAAGATCATATGAATGGAGCTCTAATTCAACAAAAGGCAGGATCAGCTTTTGTTTGATCAAATCCCAAATAACCCTGCAAAATTATGGGAAAAAATTTCACATTTTTTTAAAAGCAGGGAATAAATAACAAGTGAAATGTCTTGAAAAAGAATTCATAAGTTCATTTCATGCTATAAAATACCAAGAGGAAACTGTTAAAATTTTTGTCCTTAAATGTTAAAGTGATTTTATTTTATTTTTATTTTTACTTTTTTTTCCTCTTTTACTGATCAGTTAAGCTGTGTAGAAATTCTGAATAATCTAATATTAGATCCGCCAATGATTTCCGACATGCCACATGTCATTCGATATTCCTTTTATACGTTCAGAAATGTAGATGCCCCTTCGTGTCCAAAAAAGCATATGAAAATAAATTATTTATATATACATGTCGATGTTGATTACATTTTTTCTCTCTAAATAACAGTAATAAAAGATTTAGTGACAAAAAACAGCTGTGGACAGATGCTCCGCCCACTTTGGCATGACTTACCGGGTCATTTCATCTCCTTGCATTTCGACAACTGGTCCGCCTGCAAAACAAAGTCAATTTATTATTTTTGTCATATCTCGAATTATTGTATGTATATATTTTCTTCTTTTTGGATTGTATACCTTTGATTTTCCCCATCTTTCCTGTAAAGAGACCGGTAGAGACACGCGTGCGTACAGTTTGACGTTATCGCTCGAATGAACTTTGGACGCTACGGAAAAGCCTGTGTGTCACAAATTTGAGGTTCATCAAGGGATAAACAGCTTTTGACATGTCGAGAGGGAAAAAAAATAAATGCACTTATAATATTAACAATATTGACATTTTAAAGAAATATAATTTTTTCACATGACTTAATATAACTTGGGGAGAGATATTAAAATATTAATGAAATTCAAGCACTTGTCACCGTTTCCGGATAAATGGAGACTGACGTAGGGACTGGATTTACACACATTTTTACACAGTGTTGCACGGATAATTACGCAGTCTTTTTGCAAACATTTTGATAAGATGCCGACTGCTGCTGTGTTGCTGGCAGAAGGTGCCGAAGAAATGGAAACTGTCATTTCAGTTGATGTCTTGCGTCGTGGAGGCGTATGTTTAGAATATCATTTTTTGATGTAAAGTGAAAGTAGATTCTCATGCCGGCTGTGTTGCATCTCATCTTGACCTACACGTGTTAAAGTGTTTGACGCCGACCATCAAGTTTCCGTGGTTATAATATAAACTAAAAATGCACATTGTTTAGAAAACAAATCCTTCAAAAAGTCCTTATATGATAAAGATTATTTGAAGTGAAAATAATAACTTTACTGCCTTGCTTGTGTCAAGTAAAAAAAAAAATTAAAGCTCACCTGAGTTGAAAGCTTGAATGAGCTTTTCTGATCATATTTTGTCCAAAGTCTGTTTGTTTGTAAACTTTAAATATTTTTGTTCTATATTTTCCAGAATCGCTAAGTTTCTTCTGCAAGTCACACCTTTTTATATCCCCTTCAAAAAAGGGGCCTGCCAGTTGGTCTGTATGTGAATCAGAATGTCAGTAGACCAAAGCTTGTCCGCTCAATATCTTGAGAAACCCTTGGTTTGACAGACATCAAACTTGGTACACTGTTACCCCCTGAAGAAAAGATGACCCCTTTTGATTTTCAGGTCACAAGATCAAAGATTAAGGTGAAACAACTCTAGACATGGGAAAATCTTGTCCATTCAATATCTTGAGAACTATTTGCTTGACAGACATCAAACTTGGTACATTGGTTTTCCCTGAAAGGTAGATGACCCTATAGATTGGGAGGTCACAGGGTCAAAGGTCGAGAGTCAAATTAATGACCACTCCATATCTTGAGACCCCTTTGCTTGACAGACATCAAACTTGTCACACTGGTACCCACTGAAGAAATAGTTTACCACTGTAGATTTTGAGGTCACAAGGTCAGAGGTAAACTATTCTAGACAGGAAGACATTGTTAGTTCAGTTTCTTGAGAACTATTTGCTTTACAGACATCAATTTTGGTACTTTGGTACCCTCTAAGAAGTAAATTACCCCTAATGATATTGAGGTCTTTGAGAAATTGAACTTGGTATTATGTTTGTCCGTGATAGAAGATGACCATTTGTTTTCACTATCATTACAGACATTCAAAATTTAAATTTGTTCCCTTTCTAAAGTTGCCAAATATGATGTTTCTGATCATTCTCAAACATTTCCCGAGATATCTGGTAAAGAAAGATCTTTTTTTAAAAACATTACTTCTTTCAAACTCCATTTGCAGAGTTTATATTCTTGTTAATTGTAGATTACCAAAGATTCCCAACACCTACCTTATTTTTGTGAGATTTTCATTTGGTATTTATCAGGGAGACATAATTTTTATGAATTTTAATTTTTGTTCTGTATAATTTTTACTTGTACAAAAAAAACCCAAAAATTTAAATTTTCCAAGCAGTGGTCTTGGGTAATTATGTGAAAATTAAGTTCTCGTGAATAAAAAGTTATTTACAGCACTTACGGTGACTGCTTAGTTAGTCTTCAAGGCTTATGCAAAACTATTTCTTTTTCTCCAGTTGCTTGTTTAACTGTTGGAAAAGTGTCAAATAATATTATTCAATAATTTATTTCTGCTGACAAAGTTGAAAGAAAAGCTTGTTTTCAATAATTTTTGTTTACAAAAGTTTTCAAAATCTTCATTTAGTGCATTATTCTAAATAAAGGTAGAGACATAGTTTAGATTCATATTTATTCATATCTTGGGCCCTAGGCTCAGGGTTGTGGCAGTGTTTGAAACTCACCATAAAATTAGCTAGATATGTACATACGGAACTGACTGCTGATAAAAGTTGCCAACCCTGTCAAAGATCCACTAGCGTGAAAAAAGTTGAAATTTTAACATGACCAACCGGGCATCGATACAAGGAAATTCAGTTGTCTGCAGTGAAATTAATGGTTTTGGGTGGTCGGGTGTGTGGTTATTTCGAACACTGGGATGTGATCGTAATTATTTGTGTACACTTTTACATAAAAGCAGGTGGAAATAGCTAACTTAATATTGTTTAAATTGTAGATAGATGTGAAGTTGGTAGGGTTACATGGAAGTGAGCCGGTACACTGCAGCAGAGATGTGAAAATTGTGCCGGACACCACTCTGGCAGAGGCCCAGAAGTCAGCTCCATATGATGTAGTTGTCATGCCAGGGGGAGGAAACGGAGCCAAGAATCTCGCAGCTGTGAGTGATTTGATTCATAGGATTGAGCTGAAGGCTCAAGTGAGCTATTCTGATCAAATTGTCGTCATTGTTGTTCAATGTCATTGTAAACTTTTCACAATTTCATATTCTTCTCCAGAACAAATGGACCAATTTCAACCAAACTTGGCACAAAGTATCCTTGGAGAAAGGGGCCATGGCCTCTCAAAAGAGGAGATAATGAAGAAAGGAAAAAATATGTAGGGTGTCAGAAAATTTTCTGGTGAACCACTGAGCCAAAAAAAGATGAAACTTATTTGAAAGTTTCCTGACATAATGTAGATTCATATTTGATCAAATAATTTTCTCTGGGTGTAGGTAGGGCCATAACCTGGGGATCAAAGTTTTACATAGAGAAGATAGAAATTTTCTTTAAAATCTTCTTCTCAGGAACAAAAAGACCATGATTAATGGACTAATATGCAAGCATCCCAGCAACTGCAAATTCAATTTGTTCAGATCATGGCCTCTGGGGATAGGATTGGTTCACAATACTTATAGGGATCAAAGTGTTACATTAGAATACATGTATATAAGAAAAATGTTTTTAAATCTTCCTCTATAGAACAGTAGGACCATGATTAGTAATTTTAATATTCAAGCATCCCTTGGTAACGCAGATTCAGGTTTCTTCAAATCATGGCCCCCATTGGTAAGATGGGGCCATTATATGGGATCAAAGTTTTAACATGGGAATATATATAGGAATGTATGTTTAAAAATCTTCTTTTCAAGTATAGCAGGACCAGGATTAGTAATATTTATTGGGGTTATGCAGATTCTAGCTTGTTCAAAGTATGATCACTGGGGGTAGGTTGGGGCCTCAATAGGGTATCAAAGTTTGACATGGGAATATATGATAAGTCTTTTTTCATGAACAATAGCATCATGATTAGTGATAAAATATGCAAACATTGTCAAGTCATGTAGTTTAAAGTTTTTGATCTCTGAGGGGTAGGATGGGTCCACAATAGAGAATCAAGGAAAAAATCTTGTTAAGAACACATGGTATGATTAGACATAGTAATATGCATACATCTTCAGGTAGTGTTGAAATCATGGCCCCAGGGATAGGGTGAGGTCAGTGTACTGAAGAACAGCAGGGCCAAGGTGATTCAGGTGAGCACTGTAGCCCATGATCCTCTTTTTTTTTTTTTTTTTTTTTTTAGTCTGTAGGGCTACATGTATCCTATGAAATATTACAAGGAAAATATTCTGGAAATTATTTATTTTGTCTTTTTTTTTTATTTCAGTCATCTGAGGTTAAAAGTCTCCTAGAGTCCCAAGTGAAGAACCACAAGTTAATTGCTGCAATTTGTGCAGGTAGAAGATTCTTTTCTCAGTTGATCTCTTAAGTTTGTTCTTGAGTCTGGTCTTAAATCAGAGTTGAATATGAATATGTAAATCATTTCTTATTTAAGAGACCTTTACATGCTGTATTGCAAGATTGTCTTTACCAGAGGTAAACATTGACTTTCAGATTCACTTGCCCAAATGGCAAGTGAACTCAACTTTGATTTGTTTAAATAAAAAGCTTGGTTGCACAAACTTCAGAGAGAGGAAAACATTATTTATTAATGTAAATATTTAGGAGAAGAAAATATAAACATACTGTCAAATACTAAATACTGTATATTAATTCAGTAATGTGATTTGCCTGTTCAAAATGTTGATGTGCTGGTGAAAGATTAAAAATTTTTTGGCACACTATACCAATGTCCTTGTTCACGAAAGCTGTAAACCTTTAAATAAAATTCCATTTTTATGCCCCGCCATGAATATGGCCGGGGCATATAGTGTTTGTCATGTCCGTCTTCCGTCCTTCTGTCCTTCCGTCTGTCCTTCCGTCACACTTTGCGTTTAGCTCTGTTCAAAGCTCAGTTTCAAAGAAACTATCCAAGATATTTTTATCAAACTTCATATGCTGATAGATATTGATGAGGGCTATGCAACTGCATCAACATTTTTTGACCTTGACCTTTCCTTTGACCTTGACCTCACTTTTCTTAAATTAGTGTTTAGCTCAGTTTTAAAGATACCATTCAAGATAGTGTAATGAAACTTCATATGTTGATACCTACTGATGTAAGCTATTCAACTGCATCAACATTTTTTGACCTTGACCTTTCTTTTGACCTTGACCTCACTTTTCTTAAATTAGTGTTTAGCTCAGTTTTAAAGATACCATTCAAGAAAGTGTAATCAAACTTCATATGTTGATACATACTGATGTAAGCTATTCAACTGCATCAACATTTTTTGACCTTGACCTTACTTTTGACCTTGACCTCACTTTTCTTAAATTGGTGTTTAGCTCAGTTTTAAAGATACCATTCAAGATAGTGTAATCAAACTTCATATGTTGATACATACTGATGTATGCTTTTCAATTGCATCAACATTTTTTTGACCTTGACCTTTCTTTTGACCTTGACCTCACTTTCCTTAAATTAGTGTTAAGCTCAGTTTTAATGAAACCATTCAAGATATTTTTAACAAACTTCATATCCTGATACATACATTCAAGATAGTGTAATCAAACTTCATATGTTGATACATACTGATGTAACCTTTTCAACTGCATCAACATTTTTTGACCTTGACCTTTCCTCTGACCTTGACCTCACTTTTCTTAAATTAGTGTCAAACTTCATATGCTGATACATACCAATAAGAGCTATTCAACTGCATCAATATATTTTGACCTTGACCTTTTCTTTGACCTTGACCTCACTTTTCTTAAATTAGTGTTTAGCTCATTTTTAAAGAAACCATTCATAATATTTTCATCAAACTTCATATGCTTATACATACTGATGTAACCTTTTTAACTGCATCAACATTTTTTGACCTTGACCTTTCCTCTGACCTTGACCTCACTTTTCTTAAATTAGTGTCAAACTTCATATGCTGATACATACCGATGAGAGCTATTCAACTGCATCAATGTTTTTTGACCTTTACCTTTCCTTTGACCTTGACCTCACTTTTCTCAATTTGTGTTAAAATGTTGCATTACTAATATACCCTCGGCGGGGCATTCATGTCCTATGGACATATTTCTAGTTTTTTTCAATTTTCAATATGGACCTTTTAATTTTGGTTTCTCCCCTACATACTTTGAGGTGACAGCAAAGCCATGCTGAAGTTTGACAGCTATTACAAATATACTTATCATGATCAGGATATGTCATACTAAGCTGAGTATAACTGGTGTTATGTATATTCTGTAAGGAGGCAAATAAACTATATTATATAAATATCTATATTATATAAATATCTATATTATATAAATATCTATATTATATAAATATCTGATTTCATAATAAGAATGTAAGTCATCAGACGGAGTTTTTAAATTTTTTAATTTTTCAAACTTTTTATTAAACTAGGCTATAATTATAAAAGTAAACGGATAGCAATTAAACCATATTATCAACTGTACAATTTATTTAGAATGCTGCTAAGAGATGATCTGGAAAAATAAATAATTGATTATTTATTTCATTCACAAATTATTGTAAGATAAAGATTATATGTTTCTTGAGAAATATTTACTTGCCTGAGGCAATTGGACAACTGTTAATATTGATCCCTGTAGACACAAAAATATGGGAGTGTAGTTACTTACAGTGTGGAGGTTACAATTTAAAAAATTATATCTCAGGAAAAAAAATCAGTGCTATTAACTTGCAAAATGTAGTGAATTATTTAAAAGTACTTGGAATTACTTAAACATTTTATGCAAGTACTCTAACTCAGTGTATCTCTTGAATGTGAATTTTTATTTTAATATATTTCAGCACCAATAGCTTTGGTTAGTCATAAAATAAAGCCAGGATCCAAAGTAACATCACATCCATCAGTCAAAGGAAAAATGGAGGAAGGTAGACATATAATTGCTTATATATTATTTTAAACTGTGTACTGTAAATGAGGAATTTATGCACGAGGATAATTTATGCTAAATATGTGATAAGAAAAAGAAAGATTTTGCATCGGGGGGGGGGGGGGGGGGGGGGGGGGGCTATCTCGAAATCACCTTGTCCATCTACCTCTGTCCGTCCATCTGTCTAGCTGTCTGACTGTCCTTGCAGTCTGTCTGGGCTATAACTTTGCACCAGAGAATTAATGGAAGCTCATACAAAGATTGTTTATGACCTGAGGGTGTGTCTTGACCTTGAGGCAGGGTCTTACTGGCAAGTTCAAGGTCACTGGCAGAGAAAGTATAAAATTTGTGTCTGGTTCTACAACTTACTAACAGAGAAACATTGGAAGTTCAAACCTCATAGAAAGATTGCTTATGACCGGAAAATGTGTCATGACCTTGACCCAATGTCATTTGATTAAGCTCAATGTCACTTTAGAAAAATGTTGAATTCTTGTCCTGACCATATCTTGAATTGGAGAACATTAGAGGCTCATACTTCTCAAAAATATTGTATATCACCTGAGGGTATTATTGACTTTGACCCAAGAACATTCCAGCAAGAAAAAGTTTATTAGTTGTGTCCAGAAAAATCTTGTGTTAGAAAGCTTCTTTATTTGGTGTAGATTCAAGCTTCTTCAAATTATGGCCCCCAGGGCTGGGGTGGACCACTATAAGTGAGCAAAATTTTCACTGGCATAGAGGGAAAAATCCTTAATAATCTTTTTTGCAAGAACAGAAGGGCATATTGATTCACATATGTAAATCTAATTGTAGTGAAAATTAAAACTTATTCAATTTGAAATCATTCTTCATCAGAAAGGCAACCATTTTTACTAAGCTTAGATGACTTTGTGCCTCCATATACATTATAACATTATTGAAATTGTTGAATTTTTGCAAAACTTGGTGGCTACTGTAAATAAGTTTCAGTTTTCTGCATATTTATTTCTTAGAAAGGTTACCCTGGTCCAGTAGTTGACTGAGGAGAGAGAAGTCTTTTTTTTTTTTTTTTTTTTTTTGGAAAAGGGGCGGGGGGGGGGGGGGGGGGGGGGAGAGAGAGAGAGAGAGAGGGGGTGTTAATGTATATAACTTTGAATGTTAATAATTTAATGAAACTATTCACTGAATTTTTTGGTGTTTTTTGCTCTCCAAAGGTGGCTACAAATACAGCGAGGACCGGGTTGTGACTGATGACAAATTGATCACCAGTAGAGGGCCGGGAACCACTTTTGAATTTGCTCTGAAGATTGTGGAAATTCTGCAGGGCAAAGAGAAAGCCCACTCACTTGTGGCACCTATGCTGTTGAAATTGGGATATTAATGGATTTTTCTTATTATTTGTATATTGGTTTTCTGCTTATTTTCATGCCACTTAATTGATGTTCTAAGCTTTGGTAATTAAGTTCTACTGATGCTTTTTCCCCCTAAAGTGGCATTTGGCATTCAGCATTAAAATACATAATATAATTTACATGTAGTAGTGGGATTTTTGTTTGTTTTAAATGATTAAAGGTAGAAATTTGATAGTTGTTTGATTTAATGAATAATCCATTACAGATTTATTGTTTCAAATGAATAGGATGAATATGAAAAAAACATAATTTTCACTCCCTCCCAATATTCTATACAAATTATCCCCAATGACAGTGATGGAAGAATTAATGTAACATGTATATAGTTTTTTCAAGAGTTCACATCAATTACTGGTAAGTTACACTGATATCATTATCAATGGGCTATATGTGACCTTTGCAGAGAAAAATTCAGTTTAGGAAAAAATAATCAACTTAATTGTCAATGAGAAGGCTGACTGTGTAAAACCAAAAAAAAAAATGTAGGTAGTTTAAATCCTTCTACTTGTAATCGATCGACCAATTTAAGCATATAAACAATTTTTTTTTTTTTTTTTTTTTTTTTTTTGCACAGGGGCTGTGTAAATTTTAATGTTTTGAGATTAGATATTCAAACAAATTATAACTTTTAAACTATCTAAAAACTAATTTACAGATTTTTTTATATAGAAAATTTATGTAAAAAGATGATGATAAAACCTTTTCTTGAGATGAATATTTTAAATATTTTATGTGTGTCTTGATATAAATATGAATAATTTTTAGTAATTTCCTAAGTTTTTGAAAGGAAATTTTGAGGTTTTAGATTTTTACATGTTGCTTTGCATTTTTCAATAAAAGAAATATCAAATTGGTCTGAAATTATTGAGGAGGGGACAAGACCTCATAAGGTGATCAAAATACATGTATTTATAGTATTTGGATTTAAAATAAATAAATATATTTTTATATTAATATCATCAACATTATGAATATTATCTTTTTGTATGTGTCAAAACAGAGATGAAATAATTTTCTAAGAATCCGGAAGTTATTACCTGTGGTATTCTAAAATTACCCACTTCTCTGCATTCGCTGCGGGATTGGTATTCTCATCGTGATACGACAGCATGATCATATGGAGGGAGACTCTTGTGATTTAATAGAACTTTTGGGAGTGTTTAAACATATATGTAAAACTTTTACCTTGATAAATTTAATTAGTACAAGTTATGGCAGAGTCAAGTCTTGACGATTTTTTCGCGAAGAAGGACAAAAGTAAAAAGAAAAGTAAATCAAAAATAACCCCTGGTGACATTTTGTCACAGCAGGAAAAAGAGCTAGGTTCTGTCAAGAAAGAAAAGAAAAAGAAGAAGAAAGATGGCGAACCTACACAAACGTCTGCTTCAGGAGCTGAGGGTCAAACGAAAAAGACGGTAAATACAGGAGTCTGGCCAGTCCAGGTGTTGTATAACACCTGCATATGCTGTGTTCAGATTAACATATACAGTTGTATACACACACACAAAGCAGTTGGTACTTGGTAATTTTTTGCGGAGCTGTTTATGGTTATATGAAAATTATCTTTGCTCTTAGATAGTGACTTATCCGGTTACAATAATGATGAACTAAAAAAAATTAGAAGTATAGAACAGCATGACGCAAGCTTTTTATTGATTCGTGGGTGTAATTAATATTCCGTCCACTGTCACTGGTTCTTCAGGTATCGCCCTATCTACCTGTTCACTTGAGTCCATTTGCCTTAATTCTTGTTCGCCTTGTATACTTTTCACCATATCCCATTTGCCCTGTTGTAAATATGTCGGTATTTCTGTTGAATTTTAAGTCATTTCTGTAATAAATCAAATTCTTAGAGAAAAATTCACGAAATTCAATGAAATCAAAGTAAATTATAAAAATTAGCTGACTATGTCAGATGAACAGACTTTAAAATTTTAGAGCGAACCGACTCTGGGCGAACAAGAATTAGGATGAACTACATTAAGGCTGAACACGATTTGGGATGAACAAACATACATTCAGTTCTTCCCTAGATACTGAAAGAAATCGATTAATGAACAATTTCAGTGCATAACATTACAAAAAAAAAAAAAAAATTTAAAGTTTGTCATTTCAAGTAAAACGGTTTTACTGAATTATATTCAGTTACAAGTAATTGAAAAAATGGTCAATTACAAATTACTTTCAATTACTTTGAAAAATATAATTAGTTACAATTACTTTTTTCAATTACCCCATCCCTGGTAAAACCCCAGTTAACAGGTCCAGCACAATACCCTGATAAAGGTATATAGCTTGATAGAGCTATATACCTTTATCAAGGTATTACAAATACCTTAATCAAGGTATTTTATGTAATGAAAATACAAAAAAATCTGAAAAAATTAAATTTAAATGTCGAATTATAAGTTGTGGTCAGTGTGTTCACTTGTGCATTAAAAGTACTCAGGTATCAAAAAGACAGCATAAAAGAATGTCTCCTTACATGACATGATTTTATACTGATTTCTTTGTGTTTGAGTACTTTACATGCATGAGTGAATTTACTGACAACAACTCAGAACTCGACTTTCAGTATTTTTTTTTTTTAAGGATTTTTTTTGTATTTTCATTACATGAAATACCTTGATCAATATTTGTAATACCTTGATAAAGCTATATAGCTTTATCAAGCTATATACCTTTATCAGGGTATTGTGCTGGACCTGAGTCAAGCTAGTTCTGTATTATAATTCCAAATTATTTAATATATTGTTTCCCTGATTATTTTTCATGTTCTGAGTATTTTGGTAGATAGAAATATGTAATATCCAAATTATGATAAAATTCCAGCGGAACTGTTCTGCTTGTGAAAAACAAACTTCTCAAGTACTATTGATGAGTTAGTAGAATATTTTATCATTCAACAGTTTAGCAATAGAATTTGTCCCAGTGACATATATTTACAGTGTTCAAAGTAACAAGTAGATTTCTGAAAATTTTGTAGGACATCTCAAAGTTATTGTTCCAAACAATAAATACTAATAAATGTATACTTCCTGTCAAACAAATTTTTGTGTGTCAGATCTTTCACAGTTTTCATGTACTCTGAACAAGGGTCAATGAACTCTACTTTATGCAAGCATTTTTCCAACATTCTCATGATCACATGATCATGATCACAATTTTGAATTCCAAGTTCACAAGACTATGTCCATAAATGTTACGGTTCCATCATATAAATTTATGGGAAGTAAAAACAAAAGTGCAAGGAACAGTACATGTATTAATGCACCTATCCTTAAATAAAAAAATGTGAATCTATTAGTATCTGTTATCCAAGCAATATCAGTCCTAACCTCTTATAGAATACTGGGTGATGAAAGTCTGATACAAAAAATTTAAAATAAGATAAGACTAGAACAAACCTGTGGACTGTGCAACACCTGGTTCTCAGATAAATTTTCAAAGTACCTGGTACAAATTTATGAAAATGGCACTCAGATGTATTAATTTTGCTCATTTTAAGAGTTTTCAGAATAAACGTTGTTTAAAGTTTAAATTATATATTTGTGCCCTGCAATGAATATGGCCAAGGCATATTGCATTTGTCATGTCCATCCTTCTATCCTTGTCTGTTATTCCATCACATTTTGCATTTAGCTCAGTTTTCAAAAAACTATTTGAAATATTTTTATCAAACTTCATATGCTGATACATATTGATGAAAAATATTCAACTGTCTCAGCATTTTTTGACCTTGACCTTTGCTTTGACCTTAACCTTTTCAAAAAATTGTCTTTTAATTAGCCCAGTTACAAAGAAACTACTCCAGATGTTTTTATCGAAAGTTATATGCTGATACTTTTGGTGAGAGCTATTCAATTTAATCATTTTTTTGACTTAGACCTTTCCTTTGACCTTGAACTTACTTTTTAAAATTGTGTTGAGGTCAGTTTAAAAAAAATTATTCAAAACATCTTTATGAAACCTTATATGCTGATACATGTTTGTAAGAGCTATCCAGCTTGATCAACATTTTTATGCATGCCATGAATATGGCCGGGGCATATAGTGTTTGTCCGGGGATCGAAATTAACAGGATTTTAAAAAGGGCAAGTAAAATTAGTCATGTTAGTAGACACTTGAAATTTTTTTAGTGTATGGTGATTCTCGACCTTGATTGTCTCTTATCTGTTTTCTTTTCTCGGTAATCTGTAATTTGCTTTTTTGAAACTTTATTTAAATAGAGTCATGCAAAAGCTTAGATAGGAGGCTAATTAGAGCAGCCATTTCTATCCTTTTTTTATTATATTCATTTAGAAAATCATATTCAAACAAATGCTTTACAGGTCACAAAAACGAGTTGATTATAAATTTTGAACAAAAAGGTCACAAAAACAAGTTGATTAAAAACATTGATGATCCAACATCAGATCACATTAATGAAAATAACAATACGCCTACGCATTCAGATAATGTTTCAAAGAAAAAGTAAAACTTAATTAAGAAATGGGAGCAAGAATTCCAAATTCCCATCGGGTACAAAAAGACACTACAATTTGGTGTTTTATTATGGAATGAGGGTCAAGAGACCCAACATTGCACCATATGGCCCTGACAAACACTAAAGTTAATTCTGTACTGACCCACTATAGTAGGCTCTGTATTATTATTGATTAAAATAAAGCATGAAAAGGCATTTAAGCATTCTTTTAATTTAAGCTTATAGATCTTTATTTTAGTCTGTAGATTTTATATGTACAGGCTAAAATTTGCCTGTGGTAAAAAAAAATTAATTTCTATCCCAGTTTGTCATTTCCGTCTTCTGTCCCTCCATCCTTCTGTCCTTTCATCCCATCCTTCTCTCTGTCCTTCTGTCACACTTTGCATTTAGCTCAGTTTCAAAGAAACTGTTCAAGATATTTTCATCAAACTTCATATGCTGATACATATTGATGAAAGAGCTATTCAAGTGCATCAGTATTTTTATGCCCCGCATATAGTGTTTGTCATGTCTGTCTTCCGTCTGTCCTTCCGTCACACTTTGTGTTTAGCTCTGTTCAAAGCTCAGTTTCAAAGAAACTATCCAAGATATTTTTATTAAACTTCATATGCTAATAGATATTGATGAGAGCTATGCAACTGCTTCAACCTTGACCTTTCCTTTGACCTTGACCTCACTTTTCTGAAATTTGCATTTAGCGTAGTTTCAAAGAAACTATTCAAGATATTTTTTATGTAAAGTTGTTCACTGATACCTTGTGTCCATTTTTTTTTACTTTGATCTTCCCAGTGACCATTGACTTTACTATTTATTTTGTAAAAAAAAATTAGTTTTAAAGAAATTATTTGAGATATTTTCATCAAACTTCATATACTAGTCTAATACTAATTAACATGTTGCATTTATACCCTAGGTGGGGCCATTATGTTCTATGGACATATTTCCAGTTTAATATTAAACATTATAAAGTTCATTAATCAGTAATTAACCATCTGCCGAATCCCCATAATATCTATAGAGAGATTTACTATACAGGTACTTGATGGTATGCATGATTTGATGTGATTTTTTTATGTCTTTTCAGGAAGATGATGAATGGGTTGATTTTGAACAAGAAACAGAGAAAGACTACACGGGGCTGAGAATTCAGAACCTCCAGATCAAGTGAGTAGATTTGTCACTTACATTTCAAATGCAGTACTTATTAAACATACATACAACCCAATGAATAAAGGTAAACTTGGATTAAATTTTTTTATGAAAATCATTTAAAGTAAGAAACATAAACGTGCATTAAATACATATGGTAAATTTTATTCCATCACAATTACAAAAGATTATGTTTACTCCCATTATAGTAAGGATAAATCAGATCAAGAGGACGAAGGCAATGAGAATGAAAACGATGAGGAGTGCGATGAAAATGGAGAGAGGAGAGAAGGTGCCCAGGGCCCATGGAATGTGAGTCAGGGGCAGACAACTCAACAACAACCAGCACCCCAGGCTGCAGGTAATAAGAAATGTGTCTGTGGTTCTAGTAAACTGAAACAATTGCAGTGTAATTTGTTTAAGTCACTGATAGCGCATGGAGAAGCATTATTAATGGACTCCCTGAGCCAACAATTCAGTAAGCCTATGTTGTGTCGATTTACAATGGACTTAAATGTTCTGGAAAATCAACTTATATCTCCATTATCCAGGGCATAGAATATGGTCTCAACATCACTCCAAAGCTGACCTGTAATGATATCTTATTACAACTTTCATCCTTAGCATACATGTATCTTGAGCATTAGAATCTTCAGTTGCATCTTGAGGCAACAAAAAATTGAAAAGGGGTTGAAATATAGGGAGATTTTATCTCTCACCAGAGGTATCACGTATATGTATAACACAGAGTTGTATTGTATTGTATTGTAGCTGCTCCACCACCTGTGGAGGAAAGTAAATCTGACACAACTCCAGCACGGACTGGTAAATACATCCCACCATCAATGAGGGGAGGAGCTATGAGTGCTAGTTCTACTGATTCACCAGTCAGACCCACCCCCAGGAGGAAAAAGGCGGCTCCCAATTTAAGTAGTGAGGAGGATTTCCCCACTCTGGGAGGGGGACCAACACCTGCAGAGCTCAGGTAGAACAAACAGTGCTGTTTTATCAGATGTACACTTCCTTTGATTTTACATCCCTATCTAGCTATCCTGATTGGGAAAGCTAAAATATTCTTATCCTTGTTATGCTCTGCTGGTTGAAATCCAGAAGAGCTTATGTGATGGTAAAGTGTCTGTTGTCTGTCTGTCCAGTTTCAAGTCCAGGTGCTTCTTTTCTTTTCCTTTGATACATGTACTATCCAGTAGAGCTATAGTCTCAACAGAATTCTGGTTTCTGATATAGATTTTAGCAACTGATTGATATTCCAAAATCAGTATTATAAAATGAAAGATTGGACAGGTACCACATAATTATCAAGCTTAATACATACTTCTTTTGACCTTTGCTCTATTTCTCTTTCAGTGAGCTAAGTGGCTCATCCTTTAACCGAGTGCAGTCAGGAGGGAAGACTATGGAGGACCCAAGCAAGTCCCATCAGTCCCTGTCCCTGGGGAACAAATTCTCTGCTTTACAGGACTAGTGACCAACAGGTTATTGTGAGGGATCCTTCATCATCAAACATTTCCTACGACTTTTTCCTTCAATTTCAAAAAATGGATGAGAGAGAAATTAATTGTGATCAAGTGCTTATTTGAAAACTGATAAAGAATGACAGTGAATGCTTTGTTAAATTTTGAACCATTTGTTTCTTTTAATAATCACAATTTGTTTGGACAAGTATTATTCTGCATGTCTTAGTGTGCCAAGCTATGATGGGAATGAGTGATAGCAGAAAAAGTTTATTGTTACATCTGTAGAACTAGTGATTGATATTTATGTGTGCTCTTTCTTTTTCTATGCATACAATAATGACTGAGTGATACATGTATTGTTTAAGTTTAAAGAATTAAAAAATTCGAACTTTTATTTTACTCTTACAAGTAGAAATCAAAGATTTAAACATTATGATTAAGTCAATTTTCATGTCTTCCTTTATTTTTGGCTTATTCCTCCAGAAATTGTTACCAATTCAATTGGATAAAAATTCCTTTTATACATTTAATAATGGTACGTGTACTTTTATTGTAAATGGGTGTATTGCTTAAAAGGTTATATTCATCTGTTCATCATTTACTGTACACAACATTTTATTTGTTGTGTTGAAAAATTGTTAATATCATATATTTGCAACAAGGTTGCAGACAGTAATTAAGGACATACGCAGTGTAGTTTGGAACTTTATTTTTTATTCTCTGTATTATTGAAGAGTTCCAATAATTGAAGGAGATTTTTATAATGTCTAATGATGCTGTACCTTTTGTAAAACAAATTTTGAGAAAATACTAGGGATGTCAACGAATAGTCGACTATTCGACTATCAGTCGAATGGACTGACGATCGAAAAATGAAACGACATTCGAATATTATTACAAATAAATAAATGCAACAAAAGAGTGATAACGAGATGAAATTCTCATCTCAAAATTTGAGAAACCGTCTTTTCTCAAAAAAGTCGATGATTAATTTCCTCAACAAAAAACGGTTGATTTTCCATGTACGTAAAGAAAGTACAGTAATTATAAGTTCCTCACTACTGCGACAATTATCTGTCAGTAATAGTGTCGTTTTTGTAATAAATTACCCACCAATATACTGGGCTTTGTTTGTAAAAATTAATTGGACTTGATCTTAAATCGTGTATCAATTATCTTTTGTAATTATTAAGACTGCTCAAATGTAAAGAACGAACCATAGCTGTGTCATGTTTTGACACTTCGATAATTATTAAAAGAATTCGCTTACATTTAAAACTGTTTAAGGACATCTTCATAGCCTGAGCAATCAATAATTGAATAAGCAGTATCTAACTGTTTAACAATTTTACAGGCACCTGACGTGTGGATAGTGTGATATTAATCCCCTCCCCCAATTTATTTCATAATAAACTTTGAATTAAAAAAATTTTGACTGGCAATTTTTTATACTTACTATAATAGACACTAACTGCACGTACAGACCGATTTATGAATTTGATTGACAGGGAAATCATACATTATTTTTGGAGAATTAGGTTTCTTAATTTATTTCATATAAACATGTGTTACGTTGCATTAATTTTGATGTTACCTTTTAAATAGATTTAAGTAAAGAGGTTTTTGAGTTATAATATGTCATATACTAGTGAAGTTTGAAATAAAATTTTATTTTCAGAAAATGTTCCGAATATTTGACTATCGTTCGAATAATGCAGTCGAATAATCGACTAAGGAAAATAAATATTTTGACATCCCCAGAAAATACCCAACTGAAACTGCATACTTATGTTTGGTAATTTTTTTTTTTATATCACAAGGAATTTCATCATTTGATACCTATTTAAAACCCCTGATAATGTATGATGATTTTGTCAAAGAACATCAGATGGTACTATGATTTTATATCAAGAAAATTTTAAAAATTATTAAAGGGTAAGGTATGTTGTAAGATATGTTGCGTATGACCTTAAATAGTCTTTGAATTGGAATTTTTTGTAGTTTATATCACACCTATGGTGCAACTGGTCATGTTTTTAGCATCATTTATACATATATTGTAACATCTAAGCCTTCTTTATACTATGTATTGCTGCGAGTGTTTTATGTCAACAGCTAATCAGAATTAATAAGCATATACTAGAATTTCTGATTATATGTTGCAGAGTAATTGAACGCTACAAAATGAATCCATCCCACTATGTATTCGCAGCCCCATGTGTGAAGGTAATGTGTGATAAATATAAAACACTTTTGTTACACTACATTGTTATTCATTGTGTCTTTAGGTAGACATGTTGGATGTCAGTGGCTCACAAGTCACCACTGGCAAGGCTTACTGTCCATTTTGTGTCAACAGAAAAAAAAATTTAACATTACAAATATTTCAATTTGATACTCTTATATCTGTCAACATTACACATCAAAAGACTGTATGTTGGACTTTAAATGGATTTTTTTTTTTAAATACTGATATTTTAATAACTGGGCATGCAATATTTTATGCCATATATTTCTCCTCATATTTTTGTTAATTGAAGTGTCATAAAATAAATATATCTTATAAATTTATTAGCCTAAGGGAATTATTCATGTAATAGTCTTGGTGAGTTTATGATTTAAAACTTGTTTCTTTCAATAAACTGGTTCACTTCAGATGCAAGTCATTATTATTTTTGCCCATAGTAAATTCACCTTAACCATCCATTTTATTTTTTCCAAAAAAAAGGAAAGATTTAATAATTGCAGGGTGGCTACAATTACGAATACCAGTCAAACTAATACTTTTTTCATAGCCTATTCATATTTTTACTATGAAAAATGTTCAATCAAGACTTTAAGGAAATTGTAATGAAAGTAAGGTTTTATGTTGTCTTCATTTAATGGGTTATGTAAGTAAAAACCATGCAGGTTACATGTAATTTTTTTTTCCAAAAATTCTAATAATATAATAAATATTAATTAATTGAATAAATTACTTAGATTAGGCTAGTTAGGTTGGGGGAATTTACATTTAGGATTTATAAACTTGGTGTGTTTGATACATGTATTATTGTTATACATATGTACCTACTTATGTTCATATTTCATTCCAAATTATAAATATATTCAAGATATTAAGAAAGTAGGAACAAACTAAAATAAATCACAACACGAAGTATAGGCATCCATTCACCAGACCTGCTACAGGATAATAAGATTGAAGGAATATTTTCCAATTTTATTTATGTACCTTATTTTTTATGTTAGTATTAAGACATTACAATTGATCTTAGAGTACTACAGATGCCTCAAATCAAGTACAGCATACATATACTAGAGCTTCTCCTTCTTACAGCATACATGTACTAAATCTCCTCCTCACAGCATACATGTACTAGAGCTTCTCCTTCTTACAGCATACATGTACTAAATCTCCTCCTCACAGCATACATGTACTAGAGCTTCTCCTTCTTACAGCATACATGTACTAAATCTTCTCCTCACAGCGTACATGTACTAAATCATTTCCTCACATCAAATATGTTCTAGATCTCCTCACAGTATACACATACTAAATCCTCGCCTCACAGCATACATGTACTAAATCCTCGCCTCACAGCATACATGTACTAAATCCTCTCACAGCATACATGTACTAAATCCTTGCCTCACAGCATACATGTACTAAATCCTTGCCTCACAGCATACATGTACTAAATCCTCTCACAGCAAACATGTTCTAGATCTCCTCACAGTATATGCATACTAGATCTTTTCACAGCACACATGTTCTAGATCTTCTTCTCATAGCATATATGTACTAGATCTTCTTCTCACAAAACACATGCACTAGATTTTTTTCTCACAACACACATGTACAAGATCTCCTCACAGCACACATGTACTATATTTTCTTCTCACAGCACACATATACTAGATCTTCTTCTCACAACACATATGTACTAGATCTTGGTACAGCACACATGTACTAGATCTTCTTCTTACAGCACACATGTACTAGATCTTATTCTCACAGCATACATGAAATAGATCTTCACACAGCACACATTTACTAAATCCTCTCCTCACAGCATAAATGTACTAAATCCTCTTCTCACAGCTTACATGTACTAAATCCTCTCCTTTCCTTCTCACAGTATAGTACTAAATCTTCTCCTTCTCACAGTGTACATGTACTAAATCTCTTCCTCACAGCATACATGTACTAAATCCTCTCCTTCTCACAACATACATGTACTAAATCCTCCTCTTCTCACAGTATACATGTACTAAATCCTCTCCTCACAGTTTACATGTATTAAATCTTCTCCTTACAGTATACATGTACTTAATCCTCTCCTCACAGTTTACATGTACTAAATCCTCTCCTTACAGTATACATGTACTAAATCTTCTCACAGCATACATATAATAGATCTTCTCACAGCACACATTTACTAAATCCTCTCCTCACAGCATACATGTACTAAATCCTCTCCTCACAGCTTATGTGTACTAAATCCCCTCCTTCTCACAGAATACATGTACTAAATCTTCTCCTCACAGCATACATGTACTTAATCCTCTCCTCACAACATACATGTACTAAATCCTCTCCATCTCACAGCATACATGTACTAGATCTTCTCCTTCTCACAGCATACATGTACTAGATCACCTCACAGCATACATGTACTAGATATTCTTTTCACAGAACATGTTCTAGATCTTCTCACAGCACACTCGTACTAGATCTTCTCACAGCATACATATACTAGATCTTCTCACAGCACACAAATGCTAGATCTTCTTCTCACAGCACACATGTACTAGATCTTCTAACTTTTGTAACACTGCTTTTTGTTTGCTATAGATCCTTAGAGCATAATACTATACATGTAGTAGGGTATAACTATAGTTGGGATTTGTGTTCAAGCTTTATTTCTCATGGCCCACTTTTAATAGAAAAGGAGCCTCAAAGTGTTTTAACTTGAATGAGTATAAATGGCATCAAGTATAAAACCAGTTTAATATTGGAAATACTTAGTTTAAGTTGAAATCTAATAACTAAAGAACAAATACATGTACCTGGTATTTCTTTGCCTTTATTTATTTATTTATTTATTTATTTATTTTTTTTTTTTTTCGAAAAATGTGTTATCCCCAAAAAGCTAGTACATGTAATCAAAGTAAGAAGTAATTCTTATTGTTTTTGTGTTTTATATGAAAATTTCATCTTGTAACAATTTGAGGAGAAGAAATTACAAGGCAAACATAAATAATTTTATTGTACAGCACTTTACATACATTTACATTTGATTTAAAGTAAGACATGATTAACAGTGGGTTTCCTTTGTATATAAAGTGTAACACCATCAATGCTGCATCACACAGCCAGCTGATTTATTCTGGTTTGGGTTCCTGAGAATCCGGTGTTTTTCCATTGTTCAGGTTCATAGAATCAGCTGTTTTCTCCTCAATAATCGTGGCCAGTTTGGCCTCTGTGTTAGAATCACTCTCTGCAGCTTTATCTGTAGAAAAACAAACTTCATTTTATATATTAAGGATAGATTTTTTAAATTAGATCTTTGAAAAGATACTTGTATTTACTTTCAGAAGTTTGCAAGACATTAAAATACAGCACAGAAAATGCATGGATATATATATAGAACTAAAGAAATGAATACACATATGCACAGTGTTTATTTTAGAGCATTGCATTGTGAGGTTGATTTGGGTGTAATTTAACATACATGTATATAGATTATCATGTATAAATTTCTTTCATAATTTCTGTTCCGAAAAATTTATTTCTAATATGCATAGAAAGGGTAAGGTGTTTGTAGATCTGACATATTAATTTAAGCATAAGAATGTTTTAACTTACCTCCATCTGTCTTTTCCTGCTGGTCTTTGGGATCCACAATGGTGACCTTGACCTCACTAGGTGGTGGGGTTGGTGGTTTGGGTGGGGGAAATATCACATTTTTATCAGCAATAATGTCCTAAAAAAATCAATGATTATTTTAAAAATGTCCCCAATATTGAAATGAACCATCCGTGAGAATATAATTACTACAATCTACTGCTCCATATTGGGATTCCTCACCTTAATGGCGACTTTAATTTTCTCCTTGATGGCATCAGTTTGTTCTAGGTCTTGTACAACTGACCAGGAACCTTGAGGACTGATGGTCACTGGGAATGAACAAGGCAGGCCTTCAGGGACATCATACCATCCTAAAACACAGGGATAAAATTATATAATCTAGCCACTGATTTTCATCAGCTTGACTTGATCACAATAAGTCAGAAGTAATGTAATGTGATATATGGAGGAATATGCAAAACACCAAAGATACAATCTGATGCCCGATTTCTCCTATTTTAAAGAAACAAAGTTCTGTTGTTTGTAAATACATGGAGGGAGATAACTCTGCTTGGTCTTAGGATAAGGGTTAATAACTCTGTCCAATGACAAATATATACATTTTTTTACATTGCACATTTTCCTGACTGGAAACCCAAATAGGAAATGCATTGTTATGTTCAGTTTTAATACGAGGCAAGCTATGTCTCAATAATTGCCACCCAAGGATTTAGCTTACCCTCAGATGCCACAACAAGGGAAAAGATTTGTCCCTGTGGTGATCCATTCCACCAATGAGCTACTGTGGTTTCTATAGCAGCTGCTCTGGACATGCTGGCAGAGTGTCCCATCATGTCCTGACTTTTCTGGTGGCGGGTCTTCACAAGCTCTGCAAAAGTCAGGTGTATAAATCAAGTAAGTAAGCACCAATGTATAGAAAAGAATGTACTGTGCATCAATAAAGACATGTATCGTATTATAGTTTTTCTTTTTAAGATTCCTTTGCTACATTTTTGAAGTACATGTAATTACTTTTCATAGCAAGTCTAAATATCCATGTATCATAAAATTCTTTTTAAAGTGAAATTCTTTTATAAATGAATTTTCAGAAATGAAAGCTAGCAATCTATATTTTCCAAAAAAAAGAAAGTATTTTCATACCAACAAACTCATTTTCCATCCACTTCTTATCCCAGATCATTTCAGCAGCAGGAAGTGAGAAGGATGGAGGTCCCCAGATGGCACCATCATAACCATGGACACGACATTTAGAGATATCAATGAAGGAATCTCCATTGATGTTTCCCCAAACAATTAGATCCACCACCCCGTTGGGATTTATGTTCAGTTTTTCTGCTACCACAGACTTAGCATTGTTTTCCAATCTTCGAGAAAGTCCTACTATGTTTTGTTTTGGAATGTTTGGGGCATTTTGGATCATCATGTAAACATTTAAATTAGTCGGCCCATTTCCTGTGACTAAGACTTTTACCTCTTTTTTTGCATTGTCATTGATGGCCTTGGCATATTTTACATGATGCTCAACAGACCGTTTTACAAAATCATCTCTGCTTTCTTTCTCTGATTGAATCAAGTCATTCATCACAATAATTGCATCACATCCTTCAAAAGCTTTGGAAACCTCGGAGGTCACAATAATTTCTCTAAGAAGCCCATGTGCCAAGTCCATAGCTTCCATTTTAAGTCCTTCTAATGATTCCATGTTAGCTTTGTCATCTAACAGATGCAAAGAAATCTCTGTTGAGTCTCCAAAGACATCCCCTCTAGCTATTGCATTTATTAAGTTGTAACATACTGAATTTGAGGCATTTGTAATGCATACATGAAGTGGGTGGCTCAAGGCTTTAAATGCTTCTTCTTCTTTATCCTCCTCAATTTTGTACGCTTTATTCTCTTCAGAAATCTTTTGCATGTCCTCACTGTTTTGTGTGGATTGAATGCCATAGTATCCATTTGCATATTCCTGAAATTCATTAGCACCTCCTATGAGGACCCCTTTACCCCCTCTATCAATGAGTTCTCGCCAAACCAAAGGGGACTTCTTATGTTCCCATTCTCTGGAACTGCATGTGTCCTTCAGCCACGTCTTCAATAAATAATGAGATATTAATAAGATAAGTAACTGCAGTTTTCATGATGATAAAGGAAAAGTCCTGCAGGAACTAACAGCTAGTAGATGAGAATGAGCAAAGTTTCTGTAACCTGAGTTTAACTGTTTATTATGGTTGCAAATTTAACTATAATGGTTGCAATAAAAATTTGGGAAAGCTTGGACCAATTTTTTGTCTTAAAGGAACAACTATACAGCTAGACAAGTGCATGGAATAAAACGAATTTATACTTACATCCCATTCTTCTGGTTTCACAACTATTTTATGCAGTTGAAAGTCTGGTAAATTTCTTGAAAGTTTGTCGCCTAATAGCTCTGATCTGGCATAATATGGACAATTGGATTTTCCTGCACACAAAAAAATCATCTGGGTTTATGTTCAACGAAAATATGATTTTAAAATTAAAAAAAAAATTGTGAATGGATTGGGCAGCAGACAGATTCCAATTTAGTCATCGGTATATATAACTTGTAAAAATGGAAATTATAACTTCTTCTTCCCCTTCAGTGCTAACCACTTAAGTATTATCGCACTAACTTATAAGGTATATACATCATAAGCGCTTTTAGAAGTGTCTTATGTATTCTTGTTTTACTACAATGGTTCCCATGTAAAATTAAAATATATTTTTTTCATCATTTTAATGTAAAATCTTACCAGCAATCACGATTTTAGCCATGTTTACACAGTTGTCAAGTTTAGTCGGATTACCTTGGGAAAAACAGATTTATAAAGTGGTACAATCAGAGGTGTTCCGAAAAAAAGTATAGCCTAAAACGTGTAAAACATGTTAACTACATGAAATCAAAGAAACAATAAACTCTTTGGACGATTTTGAACAAAAGCAGTATTACACGACAAAAAATGTTTTGTCTTTCTTGATATTAAAAAGATAAATTTATTTGTTCAGTATTATCATAAATCATAGACACAAATAATTCAATCTCTATCTTCATGTTTTTTTATATAATTATTTCGTAGAAATTGTACAAGTTTTTTTTCCTATTTTGTAACAGGTTTGCTTATGAAAAGAAAAATTTGATTTCAACTAAAATATTTCTTAAAACAGTCTATCAAATGTCTCACTTCAATGTCATAAATGGTGTCGTCTCTAAAGCTTCTATATTTCGTTAAATAGTACATCCCTCAACTCGAAGAAGTCAACCGTGCGCTTTACATCGGAAAAGCAAAATACTAAACTGAGAGCATCTGTATGACATAGATTTAGACAACATGGAAAAGGAAAAGCATGTGGCAAAAGTTAAAAAAATAGGAAAGGGGTTGGCTTTGGAGCCAGAAAAGCAAGAAGAATTTAAAGAGAACTTAAAGAAAATCAAGTCAAAGGTATTTGAATTAGTATGTCCTAGATGTTCCTCAATCACCAGGTTGGGCACACGGGTGCACGATGTTTCGGGACCACGACGTTTCGGGACCTGACTAATACGACGTTTCGGGACTAGCAACAAGACGGTTCGGGACTTGGGTAAAGACGATTCGGGACTTGAGTTAATTTTTTTCGGGATCTAAACAAATTATTTTATTATGGTGATATAGCATATTATTCTAATTACACATAGTACGTAATATTTCAAGCTAAATCCGAATTTTAATTTTTATGTATATATATAATAAAAATTGTCATAAAGATATACTTTGATCGGTTTTTTTCATAACAGATGAAGGGTGTCCAGTCACTTCGTACACAAACCGAGTCGTACACAAACCAACTCGTATACAAAAAGTCAATTCGTACACAAAAACCAGAAGTCAACTCGTACACAACATTTATATACAATCGTTATGATTTAATTTTATACAAATAATGTTTGATAACACGAAGTGTTACTTTTCTTTAAGTTTTTAAAGTTTTTTTCCCCTAAATATTTAAATAATTCAACTTCCCTGATAGGATAGGAACATCAAAGACATCAAAGAAGTATTGTTAAACCAACACCCGCGCGGTGGTTTCTTGGATCTGCGACATACGCTAATTACGAGATGCTCATAATTTATATCCTTTAATTATGAGATACTATATGTATCGAAAACGTCTCCAAGTTTCTTCATTCCTTATACTTCACCATGGTTCAAGAGAGTTGTCTTTCCTGCAGCAAGACGATAAGTTTTTGAAACTTTTTTTCATTTAAATAAGTTTAGATAAGTGCAAGAAAAATGTGTTATACAGTATACCATTAAATTCTTACCATGTATTTAGATCGAATTTACTATCTACACTATATATCTATTTAGCATAATAAATTAGGATGCTATAAAATATTATATTCTACATCAACATGCATTACTTGCATAACAGAAAACTTTTTAGAAATATAAAAACTACGTATATCAATTCTGTTTTTTTTTTTTTGGAAACTATGGCAAATATTACCTTAAATCACACAGGAAAACGTATGTATGAGTTGTGTACGAGTTGACTTCTGGTTTGTATTCGAGTTGACTTTTTTTTGTGTACGAGTTGACTTTTTGTATACGAGTTGGTTTGTGTACGACTCGGTTTGTGTACGAAGTGACTGTAAATCCAGATGAAGTAGAATAAATCTTTATAATATTCATTTTTATTTCTTTTTAATTTTTTATCATTTTTTTTATTAGTTATTTTTTCTTGTGTGTGTGGTGATGGGGGGGGGGGGGTCCAAAATTTAATCTTCTCAGGTTGATGATAGATATTTTAAAATATTCAAGTGATCTCCAGCTACCGTCGAATATGTCTTTAAAAAACATGTCAGTAAATTTTTAAAACAACAACTGGGATCAGGTACACATATCCCAACTGATACTCTGTACATAGGGAGGTACGTGTTACGTACATGTAGAAAGGCGCCGCCGGTAATGGGAACTAAAAAGATTGTGTGGTTTCTTTTGAAATTATTTTAAGAAAATAAAAATCTAAAAATATGGAAAAAATATCGTTTGTTTATTGGTAAATGAAATAATTCAGAATCAAACAATAGTTCAACAAAATATAAAGGTTTTCAAAATGTTTTGATCTTGATTTTGTTTACCTTTTCCCAAACGGTTTCAAATATTTTTTTTCCAGAAAGTTTTGGCATAGTATCTGTAAGATTCTTCCCTGGAAATGTTACGAAAACATTTTTAAAGTTTCCAAAACATTGCAAATAAACATATTTTACAAATGTTGCGAGAACATTGGCCCTAAATTAAAAAAAAATACCATACTTTAAAAAAAGCATTAAATGGTATAAACAACATGATTTCATTTGATATCGTTTCAAATAATGTCTTTAAAAACATTTTAAATTTCATCATAGCTTTATCTATTTAATGTGGCAAGGTGGAAATTTGAAATTTAAGTTGACCTGTTAACGTAGTCAATGTGGAATGTCTTTTAAACACTTTTACAACGTACATGTAGCATGAAAAATTTAATATTTGCAAATTAAATAATATTTAGTATTTATTTACAGTATTATTTAAAGTTTGTCATGTACCTAACTATGTAACACCACATATAATATTACGCACTGGTCGGGTATATAAGAAGATCGATAATTGAGTTTCATTGAGATTTGTAGTCTGTGTATACACAGTAAACATAAATTCAGACATCCATATCATTGTAGACAAATTAACAATTTTGATAGTACAATAATATATAGCGGGAATATTTGGGACTTTCGTGGGAATAATTTTTTTCTAATTAAAATAAATGAATAAAATCGATTACTTTCATCATTTTTCTTAAGCCATCGAGTACATGTACTTTGCATAGATGAAGAAATTGTCTAACTTTGAAACGTTAAGATGAAAAATAAGTTGAACGTGTTTATATTTTGAAAATTAGTAAGTTTGGTTTATTTCCAAATGTTGCATACATGATATATATATACACACATCATACTTTCAGTAAAATTTACTTTGCAAGCCGTTCTTTGACGTTATATATTTTTTAAATGTCAAATACATGCTGATTTTCTTACCCATTTCGTTTTTTTTTCCTTCTCTGCTTAACGCATACATGGATGTGTAGGAAGTTTATAGCTTAAGTTATAACATTTCTCTTACCCATAACATTTTGTATAAATTTGCTTTTATGATTTTGTTGCATATATAACCTGAAATAATAATTATAAATTTTATACATTGATGTTTAAAAAGTTGAACATGGAATATTTCAGATTCTGATTCAAAACAACTACCCGTAAAACGTAAAATTTTTACTGCACATATGCTAGCCTGAGCCTTTGTAAATTTTGTAAACAAATATGAAATCAAATACCTAAAATTATTATTAAAAAGGAGAGAAAGAAATTAAGTCTTAGAAAGAAAAACACGTCCGTGGTCTTCACACAGCAGTTACGATTGTCTCCCGGCTTTAATTCTACAAACTCTCGTATCAAACACTATAAATAAATCAAATACATCATGTACATATTTTAAAAAAATTTTGAATTAAATTTTGGTCAAATGTAAACCAAATACTTTATAAAGGTAATATATCAAATACTGTAATAAGAAATTAAAGAGACAACACCGCGGGCGTTTGATTTTCTCGGCAGGCGTGCTCCATGCCGCAGGCAAACTTTAAAACTAATAACTCCAATCAGTGCATCTTAAATTATAAATTGTGTATCAAACTGAGAAATTATACATGTATAAACATAAAAACACAAGTAAACAAGTTTTATTTCATTTCCTTTACAAAATATTTACAAGTCCCGAAACGTGTTAGCCCAAGTCCCGAAACGTGTTAACCCAAGTCCCGAAACGTGTTGTCAGGTCCCGAAACGTCCATAATTCGGGCACACACCACCAAATGGTCATTTAACCCCCGTTTGGTGGTCAATCGCCCATATCGGAGTCGATATTTACTGACCATTTGGGAGAGAAAAATCGTTTTGTTCAATTCTGTGGAATGGGGTAAAATGGCGCATAATATTAACTCGTGGGGAATAAAATATAGACATTTATCGGTACTATGAACAAAAAAAATCGGAAATTCGAGTGCGGGACGGTTCGCCCCGAAAGACTATTCGCGCTGAGACGTTTCGCCCCAAGACGGTTCGCGCCGAAGATCAATTAATCAATTATGTGGTAATTATCACTTGTTAACAGCAATTATTAACTTCTTAATAACTTTTGTACTGTGCTATATAAATCCAATCCATTGGTTCAATCAATAACCCGTGATTATTTTAATGACATGATGATTTAAAAGAAAAAAATATCTATTTTGATGTAACAGGCATAGAAATGTCACTTTTGAAATTAGTTATATGAAAAGATTTTTTTGAGAAGTATATTTTTGATAAGAACTTATCATGCTTATATAGCATTACTCAAAATCGCAAAGAAAATTGGAGTCAGTGTGCATCCTAGCTATTGAGCAACGGTAAAATGAACTTGACACCCGTCTCATAATTTAATTCTCCTCTTTATCTTGACATGATGAAGAATCTCCAAATTATAGTTATAACACCCTAATTACAAAACTGAATCAGACAATTATGATTGCTGAATAAACATAATTATATCTGCACATGGATAATTATACATTTAATTATGGTATAAGCCTATTTTCAACAACTTTTAAAACATAAAAGTTTTTTAGTAACCTTAGAACTTTTTTTAACACAGTCAATATTAACCTTATATATAAATATTTATCTTAAAACATCGTAATATATCATTGTATATATTGTATATATATATCGTTGTAGACAATGTAGATTAAATTGGGCGCAAAACGTCTCGGCGCGAAACGTCTTTAGGGGCGAATGGTCTGGGCGCGAAACGTCAATAGGGGCGAAACGTCCCGTTACCGGAAATTCAACGCGGAGAATTTTGCGCAGTGTCGTTCAATTTTTTGTCCAAATCGTCATCAACGTAAACAAGTACAACGTTTCTGTGTTTTTACTTTAAAAAGAAATATTCTCTCCTTCCCGAACGTTGTTGCATCTGTTGATCGTGTTTCTAACTTTCTATATTTATCATCCGGGCAACCAATCAAATAATTTAAACCAATAAAAAATGATGATCTTTTTCAAACCAGGTCAAAAGTCTGATTTAACTACGGAGGCACATTAGTGTCAATTTTCATTTAGGAAATAAAAGGAAAGAGAAGAATTTGCTTTTATTTCGTTTTATTTTGTACGCGATGGCTTTATTCCGTATAAAAATAAAATATACGGTGAGATCATGATATAATAATTGCTTCAAAACGATGTTCTTGGAATGAAAACAAGAATAATTGCAACTGTCACTTTGTAAATCTTTTATTCAAAATCATTGACTAAATATAGTAGATTCATCACAAATATGCATACTAAACCACAAAAGGTCGTACAGAAATCGCAACTTCATCCTAAAAGTAGATAAAGAATAAATGTTACATTCAAATGTAGAAAAAAATGAATATTATAGCAGTAAGTGCCCACCATACCAGTAAAGTATGAGGAGCTTGTGTTTAACATGATTCTTTTGAGATTTATTTAGACAAAGATCCAAAGATCGATTGAAAGTTAACTTCTAAAGAGTTAAACCACTGGTCTAAATAGAATTTTTATTAAACTAGACACAAGAAAATATTTTTTGGATTGATTAAGCAAGAAGTTCGGCCATTGCAGACAGCTGTAGGAATCGATTTTTACGAAGTTCCACAGAAATTACACATGGAAAATCGACCGAACTGTATTAATTGTGTGAGGAATATGTTTAATAAAATTCCCCGAGGCCTATACGAATGCGCCTTTTCTTTATTTTTATAAAAATTGGATTTGAATAAAAAAGACCACCATTTGGTCAGTGAATACGACTCCGATATGGGCGATTGACCACCAAACGGGGGATAAATGACCATTTGGTGGTGTGTGCCCAACCTGATCACAGGGGCTTGCTCCTGGAATGTAAAAAAAAAAAAATTAAAAATCATACCACCTTGAAACACCTGGTTTTGAACAATTTTCTAACAGCAAAATAATTTCAGGCTAACAACAACAAATAAGATCTGTTTGATGTACTCTGACCCACCCGTTTAAAATCACACCTACCCTATCTTTTTTTTCCAGTAGTTCAGCCATAGGCACATGTTTCGTACAGGTCCAGCACAATCTGTTGGTTTAGCTATATAGCAATAAAGCTTTATTAAGTTATTATCTATTCTATTCAAAATAGCTTGGTAAAGCTATTTATTTGTTGTTTTACACAAAAATGTTTTTTTTTTGGTAAGAAATGGACAAAAAAGTCACAAGTATTTGACTATTCATATATTCACTATGGGCTATCAAAAAAGCAAGCCAAATCAAAGATAGTTCTAACATTACAGCTGTATTGAATTATCTTTTTGACCATAACTGAACGCCTTTATAATTTCAAAAAGTAACTGTGTGGTCACAAATCGATTGCTTTATATAACTCCAAAACTCTCAGAACTTTGAGTGCAAAGCCTCTCAAAAGATGCAACTTGTTGAGTGATTTTTACATGCATTTTTTCAGAAGGGTTCAAAGTTGAAAATTATCACTGCACCTAGGTGCTACTTTTTGTACATGCTGAAAAAAATAATACATTTAAGAAAAAGGTGTGATAAAATAGCAAAATCAAGCTATTCTGAATAGCTTAATAAAGCTATATAGCCAAAATCAAGCTTTATAGCTAAATCAAGAGATTGTGCATGACCTGTCGTATATGGGTCACCCCCTTCTTTTTCTTTCCACAAGGTACCTAACTCAATTTCAAGCACCCCTGCTTCAAGCTCATATTTTGTTAATATATCAATCATTAATCTACAGTAACTTTAAAATGACATCGTTCGCTTTGAGAGACTTTTTTTCTTTTCAAATTATTTCAGACATCTCTGGTCGAGTCTCTTTATTGTAAATTACTCATTTATTCCTAGAAAATTACCTTGATACATTTAAAGACTATAGACAAGATACAAGAACTTCAGGTTGGGGTTATAAATGTAGGATAAAACCAGAGTCTTCTGAGTTTTCCATTCTGAGGTCTCTGGTTTTATCATAGATAAATATAGATTGAATGCAATAACTTTTGACAAGCAACTTTTTTTCTGTACCCCAACGGTTTGTGAGCTTAGAAGCTTAGGATCTTCCAAGGAATCTATCTCCTAAACAATGGGGTTACAGAAAAACTTGTCAACCAAAAGTTATTGCTTCTGAAGTATTTTGATGCAGATTTATAGTATTTTTAGCTAAATGAAAAATATTAATTTTTTGCACTGTAAATTTATATCTTATTTGGGATATTAAATCCTGAACTGGTCATTGGATAATTGGTTCCAACCAGTTTAAATTTTTTTATAGGAAAATACAAATGATCTGTATTGTTTTTCAAGTTAAGGTTTTCTCTAAGACACTTTTAAGATTTAAAGTTTATACAACAATAAATATATTTACATCCACTGATATTATTTCCTTTATTTTTTAAGAAACCCATGGTCATTTATCAATATTAAACACCGCTAAGGTGAAAAAAATTAATAACTTGGTTCTCATGGCAGTTCTCTCAAAAATAAATGCGGAAGGAAGGCTTTTTTCCCCCCTTTTTTTTATCTCTTAAAAAACAGACGCAGGATTTTTGATTTTTTTTAATTTCAAAACTAGCAACTTTTAATCAACAGTGCTTCAACATTGAGTGTAGAAATCAAAATAATTTATTTCCTGCTTCTTTCTCTTTTCTCTTGCATCTTCTACATTCCGATGATTCATGTAATGAAACGACGGCATCCTAAAAACCAGGCGTGTTAAACTTACAGAACACTTTTAGTGATACATCTGGTCAATTGCTTACATAACACAACTAATCTAAGAGTGTTTCAGCACTATAAATAGCACTTATGATTTTATTAAACATTGTCAAATTTATCAATCTTTGGTTTACCCACACTAAATGAAATCTGCTAATCTTGCTGACGCCCAAGTTCTGAGGTTGAGGGAGCCATCTTTGATACCATTATTAATCAAGTCCTAGCATGGAAAAACCTTCAGAATCCCCCACTTTGTACCATGGAAGTATTACAGTCATTCCCTTATGAATTTGCATTGAAATCAATGCCATCATGACTAAACTTTATCTTGACACCTTATCCTGTTAACTCGGCGACCATATTTGGGATTTTTAACTACGCCAGTAGTCTGGATCATTTTGATGTTTGTAAAACATTTTACTGATTTCTGAAATGCAGTCAAAATGCGGTGGGGAATTTCAGATTTTTTTTGGCACTGCACAAGCACATGAGAGAAATTTTATTTTATTCATTTTAGGATAAAAATGGGTAATGCACATTGTTGAACGAGAAGCGGGCGGGCCTGAGAACCAAGTTATTAATTTTTTTAGGCCTAATCAAGCCCACCTTAAAAAATGTAGGTTGGAGTACAACGAACCAAAAAAAAAAATTGAATGATGGCCACACAGTAAAGTAGAGTAAATGTTCCTTTTGTGTCCTCATATGTGTGATTTTATTTTACTTGTTTTATAATGCAAGAATATATGTATATAGAACAAACCCTTGAGGTTGATTTCAAATTTTGATTTGATTCACAAGGGAAAAGAAGAAAAAGGATCAGGAGTTGTCTACCTTGGACATCTTCCCCATGGATTTTATGAAGATCAACTCAAGAAATATATGTCACAGTTTGGGAAAGTGAAAGCTGTGAAAGTTTCCCGGAGTAATAAGGTGAGATTAATGAGCTGTCACTACTACACAAACAATATGGATTTAAAACAATAATGAAACACCATATTTTTACACAATTGGATTTTTTGGGAAAAGTTCATTTTTATGGTCTCTGGGTCTTGTCTCCATTTTTAGCTCTACTGGTCAGAGACCAGACCTTTTGCTGTCTGTCAGTATGGTTTATGTCATCCGTCCGTCTGTTTGTTTGTCTGTAAACAATATTTCAACATCCTCGTCCTCCCCAGTTTTGGTTCAATTTCAGTATAATTTTGCACATAATTAGAATACACAAACTTCAAGATACGTAATAATGAATATTGGTTTTTGATTTCGTTGAACAATGTTGCCATGGTAACTAAAAATAGATGTTTTTGAAAAATTCTTTCAAAATGCTATTCCTCCTACAGTTTTTGTGTAATTTCAATATAACTTTGTGGACAAGTAGACTAAACTAAGATACATAATTCATTTCATCCATTTTCAATTTCATTTAACAATTTTGCCATGGTTACTAAAAATAGAATTTTTTGAAAAAATCTTTCAGAAAGCTTCTCCTCCTACACTTTAAATCTATTTTCAGTACAACTTGGTAGACAAGTAGACTACACTAAGATACGTAATTCTATGTACCAGTGTCTGATTTCATTGAACAGTGTTGCCATAGTTACCCATGGTACAAAAAAATGGAAATTTTATGAAATTCTTTGCAAATGCTACTCCTCCTACATTTTTAATCTGATTTTAAAACATGGTAGTCAAGTAGTCTACACTGAGATACGTAATTCTATTTATTGGTTTTTTTGATTTCAGTTAACAATGTTGCCATGGTTACTAAAACTAGAAATCTTTGTGAAATTCTTTCCCAATACCACTTCTCCTACAGTTTAATCTCATCAATATAACTTGGTAGACAAGTAGAATACTCTAAGATACATAATTCTGTATTTTGGTTTTTGATTTCAATGAATGATGTTGCCATGGTTACTAAAAATAGAAATTAATGTGAAATTCTTTCTAAATACTACTCCTCGTACATTTTTAATCTGATTTCAATGTAACCGTGTACACAAGTAGACTACACTAAGATACATAATTCTATTTATCGGTTTTTGGATTTCCTTATATGGAGTTGCCATGGTTAATAAAGATGGAATTTTTTGTGAAATTCTTTCAAAATGCTACTCCTCACACAGTTTTACTCCAAATTTATATTTTCGTAAACAAGTAGACTACACTAGGATACATTATTCTATTTATCGGTTTTTGGATTTCGATGAACGATGTTGCCATAGTTACTTAAAATAGAAAATTCTGTGAAATTCTCCTATAGTTTTTGTCCTGTTGCAATTAAACCTGACTCAGAAAGAGACTAAACCAAGGATCATTATTTATTGCTGTAGTCATATGTTCAAGTCTAAGTGTTACCTTTCTTTACCTTTGTTAAATAAGTAAAACCCAGTAAAGCTACAGTCTTATCAGAGACTTCTGGTTTTTATGAATGTTTACCTCCTTCTTTGAATTAAAATACACACAAATAGCATTTTCAAATCATGGAAAGATGACCCAGAGATAGCAAATTTTTAGGAAAATGTGTTTTAAAAATGTAACATTTTGTACCAAATGACTTACCCAGCCAATTTTCAAGTTATTTTTATAGCATATCAAAATACAATATCGGGAAAATATTTCCCTATCCTTTTTCTTAGGAATCCGATACATCAAAAGAATGCTAAAATTTCATGTGACATGTCCCCAGGATTTCTCTTTAACTGTACTGAAAAAAACAAGATGTGTTTGTGAAACACTGATTCCCCTGTATGGCAGCTTATGGCGGAAGTTAAAGTTTCAAATGAAAGTCAAAGGGTCAAAATTAATGTAACGCAGGGGAAGCCTTTGTCATAAGAAATACTCATGCAAAATATAAAAGTCCTAGCACCAACTGTTCAAAAGTTATGGTGAAGGTTAAAGCTTTTCAAAAGTAGGTTGGACTCCAAGGTCAAAAGGTCAAAATTAATTGTACACATGGGAAGAGCTTGTTATAAGAAATACACATGCAAAATATAAAAGCCCTAGCACCAACTGTTCAAAAGTTATTGCGAAGGTTAAAGTTTTTCAAAAGTAGGTTGGACTTCAAGGTCAAAAGGTCAAAATTAATGGTACACAGCGGAAGAGCTTAACATAAATATGCATGCAAAATATAAAAGCCCTAGCACAAACTGTTTAAAAGTTATGGCCAAGGTTAAAGAGTTTTAAAAAAGAGGTCAAACTCTAAGGTCAAAAGGTCAAAAATATTTACACCCATAGAAAGGTCTTGTTACAATGAATACACATGCGAAATATGAAACCTTAGCTCCAACCATTCAAAAGTTATGGTCAAGGTTGAAGTTTTCTAAAAGTTGGTCAAACTGCAAGGTCAAAGTCAAAGGGTCAAAATTAATGTAACGCAGACGAAGACTTAGTTATAAGAAATACACATGCAAAATATAAAAGCCCTAGCACCAAGTGTTAAAAAATTATGCAGAGGATTAAATTTTTCAATAGTAAGTCAAACGTCAAGGTCAAAATTAAAGAGGGATTCTTCTCATATTTCTTGTATTTAAAAATTAATGAAATTTTCATAGATTCAAGAAGACAATATCACTAAGTGATGTTATCAATTAGATTAAATTTGACCGTTTAATTTCAGAAGCAAGGTCAGGTCAAGGTCATTATCTTTTTCCTTGACATTTAGAGTAAAAAATTACTGTTGCTAATCATGTGATGCCTACTTCTGTTTTAAAAGATAATTTTTTTTCTTTTTGCAAAAAAATGATGTTACCATATCAGGTCTATCAGATGATTCTACCACATTAATTGACATTATTCAAATTAAATAGATATTGACTAATCCGAATTTCCTCTGTTTTTCTTAATTTTTTTTTTAGGATATATTAGTTATTTTTATATACTTCTTACATTTAAATATTTCTTATTTTTACATATGGTAAAGTAGTCATATAAATATACAAAATGATACAAAAACAAAAAGCTTTGACCATTTAGTAAGGGAGAAAAAAACACTTTTTACTGATTTTTTGCTCAAATCTGTTTTTAGGTTGGAAGCTTTCAAAGCTAACAAGATTGTAATCTGTTTAGAAATCATTATTATTTGCTATGTTTTAAAACTTTGGGGCATTATTATTAATTTTAGTTACATATCAAAATTTCTTTAAGTCTTTGATTGTTTAAAAAATTTAACTAAATGTATTGTTCTGTAAGTGATTTTGATAGGCAGAAAAGGAGATATTTTCATACGCCACAGTTGCGCCAAAAATATAGCCCTGTTGGATTTCAAAATCAGTTTACCATTTCTATTTAAAATTGTACATTTATGATGAGTAAAGAAAAATATGATCTTTTAAAATACATTACAGCTAAGTTTATAAGACATACAAGCAAATATACTTGGAATGTTCCGTCTAGTCAGAAACCAGACAGGAATCCCTCCTTAATGGTACACAGGGGAAGCACTTATCATAAGAAATACACATGCGAAATATAAAAGCCTTAGCACCAACTGTTCAAAAGTTACAGCCAAGGTTAAAGTTTTTCTTAAATTGGGTCAAACTCTAAGGTCAAGGTCAAAACTATTAACACCCATGGAAAGTTCTTGTCACAATGAATACACATGTGAAATATGAAAGCCATAGCACCAACTCTGTAACAGTTATGGCCAAGGTTTAATAAAGTTGGGTAAATTTTTGCCAAAACAGGTCAAACTCCAAGGTCAAGATCAAGATGTCAAATATGTTGGTACCCAAGAGAGATCTTGTCACAAGGAATACACATGTGAGATATGAAAGCCATAGCTTCAACCAATCAAAAGTTATGGTCAAGGTTAAAGTTTTTGTGGACAAACAGACAGACAGACGGATTGACAAGGCCAAATTAAATTATATACCCCTGAATCTTCCATTATGGGAGCATAAAAGAAGTTCTAATTTATGTACCTGGAGCAATAAGATGAGGTGGCACTCAATAGCGTTAAAAGATCTTTTTTAAAAAATCCCACCTCTTTTTGTAATGCATATAGTTAATTAAAACTTTGTTTTAAATTCACCCAGTCACAATTTTGTGTAAGAAATTATTGTGTTCTTTGAATTCACCCATTTTAAATTCGCCCACCTGTGAGTAGGGCGAAAGGGGCGAAAATTTCCCTGTATACAGTATAAATGCACCTTCTTGTACTAATCTTTACATGATACATGTATTGACAAAGTTATGATTTCTATTGCAGACTGGGAAAAGTAAAGGATATGCTTTTGTTGAATTCCAGTCAGATGACGTGGCAAGGATTGTGGCAGACACTATGAACAATTACTTGGTGTTTGAAAGACTCATTAAGTGTAGGAATTTATATCTTGAGTTTTAACCAAATATTTACCTAAAAAAGAAATTAAGGTATTCCAGCCCTTTTAGGACCGAATTTCTTACCTTAAATATCCATCTATATAAAAATACTCTGATATCCACACTAATACATGAGATTACTTTTATGTCTAAATATTCCGAGTATTTAACCCATACATATCTGTTAAGCATTCAATATTTCATTGAGTTTGGGACTGTTAGAGGTTGAATACCTTAAAGGCAAATATTATTCAATGTTTAGAATTCAGGAAAGAAAATGCTTATTAATGAAAGTTTGAGTTGACCTCCATGCACTGTTTATTTTAGGTCAGTATATCCCATCAGAAAAACTTCATCCTAAAACAATGGGGAGAAGAAATGGAGTGTTTAAGCCACCAAAAGCACATATCATAGCTCGGGATCGACACAACAACAGGAAAACCGAGTTCAAACAGGAAAAGTCGATAAAAAGACTTCTGAAGAAACAGAAAAAGAAAAGTGACATGTTGAAAGTTTTAGGGATTGACCTGAAAATGAACTCTCTCGTAAGTGTCTCCCAAGAATGTACTGGTATTTATATGTCAAAATAATTTAAAATGGAGACTATGAACAACAATAATATTGCCATTGATTATATATGTTATGCAATTGATGAATGTATGTATGGGAAAAAAACATGATGAAATAACACTTTGGCATACATAAAAGATAATTGAATTTTATATTTAAAAAAAAAAAGATAATGTAATATTTCAAAAGTTTTCAATTATAAATATACATTTATTTCTATCTGCATAGTTGGAGCAAAACTTTCATTACTAAATACTACATGTTTGCTACCTTTACAAACTGATCTTCCAATCAATACATGTAAACCATTTTAAAATAATGTTTTCACAGTCAAAAGATTTTGTTTTTACAGGAGAAAGTTTTAGAAACAGGGAAGAAAATTATTGTAGAAAAAGAAAGGGAGAAAATGACTGGTGAAACAGCAGAAACAAATGTGATGACAGTTGTAAAAGCTAATGCAAAAACACCAAACTCTGCTAAAAAATCCAAGACAGATTCAAAGTCAACTCTGTCTTCTGATGCAACACCCAAGGCACCATCAACTCCCTCTAAAGTCACTCCAATGTCCTCCAAGGCAACACCTTTAACATCAAAGAAAGCAAAAACTCCCAAAGGAACCCCAGCTGTGAGTGAAGCAACAGAGCAAACACCAAAAGTAATATCACCAGCAGCAACCCCAGCAACATCAAAAGCAACACCTTTAATAGCCAAGAAAGCAAAAACACCGAAAGGAACCCCAGCTGTGAGTGAAGCAATACAGCAAACACCTAAAACAAAACCATTAGGAGGAACCCCAGCAACATCAAAGGCAACCCCTTTAACATCTAAGAAAGCAAAAACACCTAAAGGAACCCCAGCTATAAGTAATGCAAGACAACAAACACCAAAAGCAACTCCACTAGCAGCAACTCCAGCAACATCAAAGCCAACACCTGTACATAAAGTAACACCTATGCCACATAAGAAAAACAAGAAGACAGTAGCCCCTGAGACTTCACTAAAAGATCAAAGTATGGAGATCTTAATGGAGGACAGTGAAGAGGAAGACATTTCATTTAAAACTCCTCCCAACGCCATACGATCCTCCAGAACCCCTCTCTTATCAGCCTCTGCTAAAAAGAAGCGTGCTCAGTCAGGAAACAGTAACACTCCAATCAGAAAAATAAATGAACCACAGAGCAAGAAGAAGAGGAAAAGTCTGGAGTGATAAAACAAAATTGATATCAAATGAAGTTGACTTTCACGGGAAATTTTACAATTGTTACTGCAGGGTTTTTTTGCAGTAAATGTTATTAAGGATATTTTTTATCATTGTGCATTATTCATGGAAAAACTTGTAATAAACTACATTTTAATATGATCTGTTATAACAATTGTTAAAACAAACATACACAACAACTGAATAAATAAATTTGCAATGAATGTGTTGTTAATTGAATTACAGCAGTAGGTAGAAGGAAAATGTTATGGTCAAACATGCAAAGTATTCTGAAGGCCCTGTTTTATTTGATAATTTGTGTCTGTATTTACTGCATAGTTGGGAATGCTTTGGGGAAAAAAAAGACTTGGAGTCACTTTGTCAAAGGTCAAGCCTACATATTTATATGACCATTATGATGCAATATCTTGGATTTTTTTCTAATGTACAATTTTCATATTTACTGCATATCTTGTAGATCAAAATGGTCAGAAGTTTTATTACATCTTGAACAAGTCAAGGCCACAGGTCAAGACTATTTTAAAATATATGCCAGGGGTCTAAAAATCATGAAATCTCCCCAATGAACCCCCTATCAGGGCACTGCCCTAGACCTGCTGGGGGCTTAGGTGGCCCCTGGCCCTCGCTTAATTAGTTGCTATGTTTCAGTCCTAGCTACGCCCCTGATTATATCTTAGAAATTGACTTTTATGACACATTTGTATCTTTCCGAGAAATATTTGAAATCTATTTAGTCAAGGGTTATATCACAAACATGCTTTAAATGCCAATATTTATTATGAGAGGAGTAGTGGTTAGTGTGTTAGTCTTGAAGGGAAAATTGAAAATCATAATATTTATTGCTTGGGTTCTTACCCCAAGAATACCACATTTCTTTTTAAATCATAAAATGATCAAAATTTGTATGTTGTCTGTCTTCGTTGTCATTTTAGACTTTTCATTATTTCATCTTCTCCAGAACCAATGGACCAATTTAAACCAAACTTGGCACAAAGTATCCTTGGGTAAAGGGGACTCCAATTTGTGCAGATGAAGGGCCGCTCCCTTTTCCAAGGGGGAGATAATTAAGAATTCAACTAAACTTGGCACAGAATATCCTTGGTTAAAGGGGATTCAAGGTTGTACAAATGAAGGACCACTCCCTCTTCCAAAGGGATGTAATTAAGAATTGGTGAAAAATCGATGGTTTAATTTCTAAAAATCTTTTTCTTAAGAACCACTGGGCCAGAAAGATGAAACCTAATGGAAGCATCCTCAGGTAGTGTAGATTGAAGTTTGTACAAATTATGACCTTTGGGGGTAGAGTGGGGCCACAGTATATGTGATCAACATTTTACATAGGAATATTTATAGGAAAAAATCTTTCAAGAATGGCAAAGACATGACTAGTCATATTAACATAGAAGCATCCTCTTACCCTAGGGTAAGTGAGGCCCTATGTTCCACAAGGAACCAAGAGAGATCCTCAGGTTTTGTAGATTCAATTTTTTTTCTTCAAATAACTCCCAGGGGTATGGTGGGCCACAATAGGTGATCAGAATCTTACACAGGAATATATTGGGATTTGAAGAACAGTAGGACCATGGTGACTCAGGCGAGCGTTGTTATCCATGGGCCTCTTTTTTTTTAGTAAATGAGGGGGGGGTTTGGGAAATGTCTTCAAGTGTACTTCCTTAAACTGCCACTCAATTGTTGCCCGAGATGGATTTTGGGTGAAGTCTACTTTGAGGTTGTAGGTGAGCAGTGTGGCCCTTAGGCAACACAATCATTATATCTCTTTTTACCTTGTGAAACTTATATCTATTAATATACCTCCTCATTGTTATAAGATAATCATATACTTGATCATTACGTTTGACGAGAGAAGTTTATCGGGTTATTGGTAACGAGTACACAATCGGGATCGGGATTCATATTTATTCCCTCTGTTCTGGGTTCTGACTGAGAGGCAGTTTCAGTTTCTGTCACCGGCGTTCCATACCTTCACCCTGCTAATTGAGTGTTGTCAACAGACAAGGCATGGTAAACGAACTGAAACATTCAAGATTATCAATATAATGAATAATATGCATGCAAAATTTTGGTAAATGGATTCACAAACCCATTTAATTATTCCACAATAACCGAGGGTTCCACTTTTCAGAGTTCGACTAAAGAAAGCGTACTTTCGGCTGCAAAGCAGTTTCTAAACTTTGTCAACAAGAGCCCATCTCCCTACCACGGTAAGGAATTACTGAAATTTCTTAGAATTCGAAAGTAAAGAGATTCTGCTGTGTTTTCTGGGTACATGTACTTGGAAACTGTGAAACGAAACCGAACGAAACGAAACCAAATGAAAGAAAACCAAACGAAACAAAACCAATATAAAATAAAATGTTGAATAATAGATCTAAAACACCCTGCATGATATTAGATGTTCGTAGTAACTAGCATAAGATAGCTGCTACAATCATGGAAGCAGCCTGGTTGGACTTGTTTTTTGTTTTAATGTTTTATTTATATTCACTACCCAATAGTTTGCTGAAACTGAAACACAAATACTTAATCAATTAGTTAGTATACATTCTATAAATATCAGGGTTCGACACTAACAGTGGACCGGCGGCCTGAGTCCACCAAAAAATTGGAAGGTCCACCAAATGTTCTTGACTAGGTGGACCGTCAGTCCACTTAAAATTTAAACACTGTATTAAAAAAAAACACGGTAAAATTCCTTTTTTTTCCCTAAAAATCGACATCCGTAAATCAAACGATTAATTCATCCATACTTGTTACAAGAAATAAATATGGTAATATTTGTTTTAATCAGGGGAACCTAGCGACTAATTATATATTTTACATATAATATTGATGACTACAATAACAATAACATTGAGACGCAAGAATATTCAACACCGACCTTGAAAAAGACGAATGTAAAATTCGTGCCAAATTAGTCAGTCTGTCCTTTGTTTGTTTAATGCACAGAAAGGTGTGAAAATGTACACTGGGTAACAGGAAATCACTTCACGCCTGAACGCACACTGATGGCCAGGTTTAGAGATAATAAGAATTGATTGACAGCTGCATTTATGCATTGTTTATTTTTTAGATCTTCAAACAGGCGTGATTTATATTTTATGAATACATTACATGTATCTGCAGTTCCTGTTTTTTTTTTCTGCTGTACATAATATCACACAAAAGAATCATATGATCGCAGTTTACTTGAATGAATAATAATTAAAAATGATAATGAATAAATACATATAAATAATAAATAAATACATATACTTTTGTTTTGCATCGTAGTAAAAAAAAATTTAGCCATAGATACATGAAAAATTCACTTGTTTATATGAACAATTAGGATTTAACTTTTATCTACCGTTGGAAGCAAAATAAATGCAGGTTTTTACCATTGTTTGAAGATATAGATTGTGTTCTTTTTTAATTATTGAAAATATGTTTGACAATATTGCTGAAAACTCCTGACTAATTGATTTGATTCTGTTGACTGGTTAACTTATACTTTATTAATCTGACTGGACTGGGTACATAAGTTAGTTTCAAGCCTTGTGTAATGAATTCATTCATTAATTCAAACATTTATGAAGGTCCACCAGAATTTAAGAAGGTCCACCAATAATTTTTGACTAGTGGACCTGTGGTCCACCATGGTAAAAAAGTTAGTGTCGAACCCTGAATATATATTCTATCATTTTAATTTTTATGGGGGGGGGGGGGGGGTTAAATGTGCAGAGCATATTTAATGCAGGGTTCATTTTAGATCTTGATATCAACAGTCAGGGGCATAATGCAAACAAGTTATTGTCAAAAATAACTCAAATGAGTTATTTTTTGTCACAATGAGTTACCTCTCTTTGCTTCTGACATACTTTCCCCAGCATTAGTAACTCAAACACATTATATCTCTAAACTAGTTTCAATAAAATGATAACTTGTTTAAGTTATTTTGTGTAATTCCTCCCCAACTTCACACCCCGTGCACCAATTTGAAAGGTTTTTGCTCGTGCACCAAGGCAAAAACAAATGTATGATTATATTTAAACCTTGCTCAATTCAGGAAATTGTCCAAGGACTTGGGAAAATTGGGGAAAATTGTTTATTTAATGATAAAAACTTGACCCAAACTATGTAAATAAAACCTCATTGGCTCAAAATAAGGAGTAAAATGCTATTTATCTGCACCTCCTCACCAATTCTCCATTGAAGTCGATGCATTCCATCTAGTATTACATAATGGAATCCCAAAATGCAAAGCATATTGGCAGGAAATACAGAATTTCAAAGAAATCAATGTCTAAGTAGGATATGAAAGTAACTTATTTAAGTTATTATTAAAAAAATTTCTGTGTGTGTAAAATAACTTATGTAAGTTATTTTTCTAATAACCTGTTTGCGTTATGCCCCTGACTGATCAAGCACCTGGGCCTTCAGTTGGAAAAAAATAGCACATTTGCTTGAAATTGAAAAGCAGGGGAAAAAAACCAGTGCTCTAGAGTATAATTGTACTCCTTCTACTTTCAATTTGGTCAAGGCTTACTTCACTTAAATAAGCTTAGGCCAATAAAATTAGGATTACTTTAAGAATTTTGGGGCAAAAATTGGAATCTATGGGACATTTTTTGAGATTTATGAACAATAAGGCTACCCTGTTTTGATTTTTTTTTCATTGTTTGGGAATTTTAAAGCAAACATTTGGAAAAATACCTGCTTTTTAGCTCTACTGGTCAGAGACCAGAAGAGCTTATGCGATAGTAAGGTGTCCGTCGTCCGTCCGTCTGTCTGTCTGTCTGTCTGTCTGTCTGTCTGTCCGTCTGTCTGTAAACAATTTTTCAAAACGCTACTCCTCCTACAGTTTTGGTCCGATTTCAATACAACTTGGCACACAAGTAGACTACACTAAGATACATAATTTAGTGCATCGGTTTTTGATTTTGATGGACGGTGTTGCCATGGTTACTAAAAATAGAAATTTTCTGTGAAATTCCTTTAAAACGCTACTTCTCCTACAGTTTTGGTCCGATTTCAATATAACTTGGCACACAAGTAGACTACACTAAGATACATAATTTAGTGCATCGGTTTTTGATTTTGATGGACGGTGTTGCCATGGTTACTAAAAATAGAAATTTCTGTGAAATTCCTTTAAAACGCTACTCCTCCTACAGTTTTGGTCCGATTTCAATATAACTTGGCACACAAGTAGACTACACTAAGATACATAATTTAGTGCATCGGTTTTTGATTTTGATGGATGGTGTTGCCATGGTTACTAAAAATAGAAATTTCTGTGAAATTCCTTTAAAACGCTACTCCTCCTACAGTTTTGATCTGATTTCAATATAACTTGGCACACAAGTAGACTACACTTAGATACATAATTTAGTGCATCGGTTTTTGATTTTGATGGACGGTGTTGCCATGGTTACTAAAAATAGAAATTTCTGTGAAATTCCTTTAAAATGCTACTCCTCCTACAGTTTTGATCCGATTTCAATATAACTTGGCACACAAGTAGATTACACTAAGATACATAATTTAGTGCATCGGTTTTTGATTTTGATGGACGGTGTTGCCATGGTTACTAAAAATAGAAATTTCTGTGAAATTCCTTTAAAACGCTACTTCTCCTACAGTTTTAGTCTGCTTTTAATATAATTAGGCATACAAGGAGACTATACTAAGATACATAATTTATTGGATTGGTTTTTGAATTCGATGAACAGTGTTGCCATGGTTACTTAAAGTAGAAATTTTTGTGAAATTCCCATTAAACGTTACTCCTCCTACAATTTTGGTCTGATTTCAATCTAATTTGGCACACAGTTAGAATACACTACGATACATAATATGTATTTCTGTTTTTTTTCATTTGGGTGAATGGTGTTGTCATGGTTACTAAAAATAGAAATTTCCGTGAAATACTTTCAAAACGCTACTCCTCCTACAGTTTTCATTTGATTTCAATATAACTTGGCACAGAAGTAGACTACATTAAGATACATAATTCTATTTATTGTTGCATGTTGCAATGTTTCAAATCCAAGTGCTACTTTTCTTTTGTTATACAAACAGACCAGTAGAGCTACAGTCTCATCAGAGACTTCTGGTTAGTATTGGGAATGGGGTCTTATTTTGGCTTTTTTTATACAGACCCTAAAAAACCCCTGTAATGCATGTACCAGATATATGTATTATACACTGGACCAGAAATATGTATTATACACTATAATCTTTACATTCTTTATCTTCTTCCCACTTTACACAATGGTGGATTTGAATAATTGAGAAATACTTGAAAAGGAAATAAATCATTACATTTTGAAAGTCTAGCAAAATGACAACTTACTGGAAAAATCTTTGACAAGCAAAAAAACAAAAAAAAAGAAAGAAATTTGTCAAGACTCAAAAATCATAAGAAATTTCCTTTAATTAACTCTGTTACTTAGAAATTCATTTTTTATCACGTTTTCTAGATGTTTTTAGCAGCATGCACATACTCGTATATCTTCCTTGTGGTGAAACGTTTTAGTCACCTTGGGGTAGCATATTTATGTTTTATGAAAGTATAGGAATAAAACCAATAGTTGCATTTCACATTTCAGAGAATGATAAAGCACCAATTTTTCTGATTAAATGTATTGAAGTGGATAAACCTTTTAAGCTAACTTTTATAGTAAGTAAGTAAGTAAATTTTATTTAAAGTCGGCATTTTTTACAGAGTTTAACAATGAACATGCATGAGCTCTGTAGAGCTCTTAAACTGACTAATAGTATTTTGACATTTTGCAATTGTACCTGCAATTCGGTGACTCATTATCGACATAGACTTGGATTGCGTAGGCTTGTGTTAAATATGCTTTGTCAAATCTGTGGATACTAGTTATTGTAATGGACACCCTTCTTCATTACCTAAAGTATTCCTTTTATAAAATAGTAATCTGATTCTTTAACTTGACTTCGTCTCATCATTAGTTTTGTTTGGTTTCAATTTTGGTTGCTTTCATTAGGTTTCATTTTGTTTTGCAGTTTACAAGCACACATGTTTTCTGATAGAAATGAATTGCAACATTAACATGCTTAAATAAAATTTTCTGATTCTGATCTACAATGGAAAAGCAAATAAAAAAACAATTTTGTTTTAAAGTCATGTTTTAATAGTTGTGTCTTCTAAAGTTGGGCAGCTTAATTAGGTATTCATGTTATAAATTAGAATGTCTTTATCTTTGCCTTTTCACATTAATTCAAAGTCAGCAATCATTATAAGAGTTGAACATATTCATACTAGGTCCTCCTTCATCAAACTGCACTGTTATGTGTATTATGTTACCCATCATTGAATAGACAATAGACTGTTTCACAATGAATGCAGTACTGCTCTTTTGCAAGGCAAATTTATATAGTTTGGTCAGCGATTTTTTTCTACCCACTGGGAAAGGGTCTGGTACCGGTTCAATTGGGAAAAATAGCATCGAAGTAGAACAAAGGAGAATTTTCTTTCATATAAACAAATGAAACATATTTTGTGTTTATTCCAATCTCATTACCTATTACTCCATGTTTGAAAGAATAAACAACAAGTATTTATTGTTTTTCATATCAATGTCCCTTGTTTTCACATTTTCATGCTTTCAATTTGTCAAAATGTATGACACTACGCTGTTTACACCACAGGTCCTGCTATATTACAACTGATCTCTGCTTTCGATAGTCTGGTACCCTTCCCACAATTCCATTCGTGCACTCTCTAAATTGAGGTCCTCAGTGTAAGAGTGCGCGAACAGAATTGTGGGAAGGGTACCAGACTATGCTTTTGATTAAAGCGGATCCGAAGTGAAACAATTAGTCAACTTGTACAATGTTTCATATAAAAAGAAATACGATGTCATCGTAGTCTGTTGCTTGGCAGTTGAATTGGGAATTTTTAGTCTCAAAATTGGGAAAAATTAATGTTTTTTGGCATTGGGAATGGTACCGTTTATCGGTACCAGTTATATAAGGGAAAAAAAACGCTGTTGGTGAAATATGATGTAACAGCAAAGAGCAGTACAACAGTTATTGTGAAATTATCGATAATCAATTAATCATCTGACTTAGCAATTAATATTTTAACTTTCAAAATATTTTTTAAAAAATATGATTTTGCCAGTCTTTGCCAAAACCAACAAAGTAAGATTATATATACATGTAGCTTCCTCGGTATTTAAGCATAAAGAAAATAGAAAAAAACAAGATGTTTTTGTGAAACATTAGACACTGATACCTCAGTATGGTGCTCATTGCCAAGTTAAAGCCTTTCAAAAGTAGGTCACAGTCCAAGGTCATGAGGTTAAAAATCTTGCTAACGAAAGAAAGATCTTGTCTCAAGGATTACACTTGCATATTACTTAAAGCCCTAGCACCCTAGCACCAACATTTTAGAAGTTATGTCCGAGGATAAAAATTTTTCAAAAGTGAGTCAAACTTCAAGGTCAAGGTCAGCAGGTCAAAAATGGTACCCAAAGAAAGGTCTTTATAAAGAAGTACACATGTGAAATATGAAAACCTTAGCACCAACCATTCAAAAGTTATGTTCAAGTTTTAAGCTTTTGCAGCCAAACAAACAACAAAAGATGTATGCCCCTGAATCCCTGATTACGGGGACATAAAAAAATTTGGCTTTTACTTGTGTGTTTTAACTTTTGCTTTGATATTTGTATAGCTGTCCAAGAAGTAAAGAATATTCTTGTATCAGCTGGCTTTAAGGAATTGAGTGAAACAGAACCATGGTCAGTCAAGCCTTTGGACAAGGTAATACTTGTACAGTGATTAATTTTGCTAGAATGGTTAACTGTGTTCCATTTTGAATTGTATTTTTGTGTTACCTGCAAAGGAGAGCAACACTCAGGGATCACTTTACCCTGCATCTGTCTGTCCATCTGTCACACCATATATAAATTTGATATTTTGGTTATTTTTAACTCACCTGAGCCGAAGGCTCAAGTGAGCTTTTCTGATCGAAATTTGTCCGTTGTCTGTCGTCATCGTTGTCATCGTTGTTAACTTTTCACATTTTCATCTTCTTCTCAAGAACCACTAGGCCAATTTCAACCAAACTTGCCACAAAGTATCCTTGGGTAAAGGGGATTCAAGTTTCTTCAAATGAAGGGCCATGCCTTCATCCAATTATGAATTATGAATTCGTGAAAAATTAATGGCATCATTTAAAAATCTTCTTCTCAAGAACCACTGTGCTTGAAAATATGAAACTTATATGGAAACATCCTCAGGTAGTGTAGATTCAAATCTGTTCAAATCATGACCCCCGGGGTAGGGTGGAATATATAGGAAAAAACTTTAAAAATCTTCTTCTCAAGAAAATCAAATCCATGTCTCTTACAGTTGTCAAGATGTAAGGTGTGACAGATGGGCAGAAAAACCCTGGGGTAAAGTTATCCGTAAGTGTTGCCCTATGCCTTTAAAAAATAAAATTGTTTCGTTGATATTTTATGAAGTCTTTATAGTAAATAAAAATGCATGCAAATTTATGCAATTTTGAAAATACTTTTGAATTGTGTGATATCAAATATTACCAGGATATATTTGATGCAATAAATGAGAGAGGTTCTGTTTTATGTATAATTAATGCAATGAACTTTATTTATCTATATAGTGTTTTTTGACCCGGAATCATTCTACCATTATTGCCTTTGCTGTGGGTGGAAAATTTAAGCCTGGGAATGGGTTCAGTATTATTGGAGCTCACACAGACAGTCCCTGTTTGAAGGTATATCAATCAGAAACAGAACAGCAATATAGCATTAACTGATTGTAAAGTGTTCCACATACGCTGTATAAATTTGATCCTATGTAAGGTGTATAGATGTTACATTTTCTGATACACATATGTTTGTGTTGATGTAACTTGGATTTTTTGCCTTTTAATAGAAAATATTTTCAATGTGTCATTATGAGTATGACATTACTGAAATGCTAGTACCAGTAAAACATAAATACAAATCTTATACTTTCATGTAAATTAGTTGAATCTGATTCGTCGAGAAACATTTGTTAAAAAACACTATTACCCGCTGAATAATGAAGCCATGCCCTCCAGCATAGTAACAGTCAACATTGCTTGACGACAGGTAATATTCCAAAAAATATTAACTGTGCAGAATTTATGCACGCAACGTTTAATATAATATGTATTTGTATAAAACATTAAGACTAAGTATAATATGATAAATATTGCGTGTAGTTGAGTGTAACATTGAAAATGTTCACCCCTCAAAAACCATCGTCAACCTTGGCTGCGCCTCGGTTGACAATGGTTTTCTTGGGGTGAACATTTTCAATGTTACACTCAACTACATGCAGTATTTATTTAATATTTAATGGAAAAAAATTTTCATACAAAGTGTATAATCTTAGTTTTATTGGAGAGTAGAAATAGGTCTGCATGACTAAAGTTGTCTGTTGCTATCAGTTGCTGTCCTTAAAATTTTAATAAATTTCAACTTCCCATAAACTGCTGGATGTTTTTCAATCAAGATAGCCTAAAAGTATTCTTCATAGAAGGGTATTATTTTGATCAAACGTCTACCTTTTTGATCTTGCTGATGATACTTGGTATATAAAAGAGTAATATTATGCATCTACATGGTAGTATACATGTATATATAAAAAATACTTCACTGTCAGTACTATACATAATACTTCACATTTAGGTGATTGTTATAGGTCAACGTAGCCTTCCTCCTTCACTCTTCTGTACAGTAAATAATAACTGTTACACAGACATACAAGATAATGAATGTATATACTTATGTAACATAAATATTGTAACCATCACCTTTATCAGGTGAAGCCCTGCTCTAAAACTGATAAGAGTGGGTATCAGATGGTGGGGGTGCAGTGCTACGGTGGGGGAATCTGGCACACCTGGTTTGACAGAGACCTGACCCTGGCAGGTAGAGTCATCACTAAGGTAAGGGTAGTACCAATGGTCAGAGTGAAGGTATAGCTTACTTCAGGCTAGTGTGTTTACAGGTAAAAGTAATTCTAATTGACTACCACAGAAATCAGCCTCTACAAAATTTCACTTTATAAGAAATAAGCAGAGAAATTAATGATGGTTTGACAAAAAAAAGAGAAATACTAAAATTATACCTTAATCAAATTTTCTTTGATAATACATAAAAGATATACATGTATCGTCAAACTATGAATCAAAGAATAGATTTTTCGGTTAACAAAACATGGAGCAAAGATGAGCTATACACTAAATTAATATTAAATGATAAAAATATATGATCAAGATTTAGCTATGGTTTTATTTTCAGAATGGAGAGAGGCTGGAACACAGGTTAATAAATCTGGAGAAGCCAATCCTAAAGATTCCTAACATCTGCATCCATCTGATGAGAGATCACAATGAGAAGTTCTCCCCCAATAAAGAAACACACTTGTAAGTAATGAAAAGTACATGCTTTATTCTTTGTGTAGGCCATACCATTTTAATTCATGCACCAACTATTTAGTTAACTTTAGGTGAAAGTCTTGGAAAATACTGTTACATTGTATCTATAGTCATGATATTTAGGATCAGGAAATGAACATTTTTAGTCAATTTCTTATGCTTTTGCTATTTTGATAGTCAAAATGTGCATTCAGGGGTGTGCATATGTAAAGAAAAGAAAGCAAATGTTCATGTATTGAACTGAAAAAAAAATTCTGCATTTTCATATTCTTTCCATTTCATTTAATATTTTCAAATGCCCTAGCATTAGCTAATTAAATTAACTGAAAAACATACTGAAAGATAAATCACAATTTTCTTTTTTTAAACAGATTGCCAGTATTGGCAACAGCTGTTCAAGCAGAACTACAGGGTGTTTCAAAGATCTCTGAAGAAAACAACAAAGAAGGAGTTAAATATGAGGTTACTAATCATTCAGATTTGTTGTCATCAAGTAAGAAGAACAATTATTGATTTGCCTGTTAGTTTAGAAGAATGGTTGGAATAAATGACTTTCTTATTGGCAGATACATTGTCGTGCCTCCCTGTGTGTCAGAAAAAAAGGGGCCCTAATGTCCTTAAACTTTGAAATAAATGTTATCTGAAGTATTTGATGATTGTTTTTATCAGGTATTTTTCTTTTTGTAGAAAGATAAACATCAGCCTCTCTTGGTTAAGCTTATATGTGATGCACTGAACATTAAACCAGAACAGATGTTGGATTTTGAACTCTGTCTAGCGGACACCCAACCTGCTGTAAGACTTAAACATTTATTTATTAATCCATTTATTAATTTTTTTGCAATACTGCTACTAATCTGATGATTGTCAAATGAAACATGAAGTCTTATTTCTTCTGAATAGTTCATAACTAGACTGTTACTTATTCTTCTACTGAGTTCACTTAATATAAGTAGGATTTTGATTCAGGGTGAGGAGTTCATTGTGACATCATTAAAGACTAAAGCAGTTCCAGAGTATTCAGTTTGAGTGAGTAAAAAAAAGGGTTTCTTTTACAAATTCTTTAAATGTTATTGTTTGCAGGCTATAGGTGGAGCATTAGACGAGTTCATCTTTTCCCCCCGACTGGACAATTTGCTGAATGCTTACTGTGCTACTAGTGTGAGTTACACATGTAATTAAATTAATTCTGATGGAAAAGATTTTTGAATGATATTTGTTTAATACTTAACACTTCATGAGTTTGTCTGCTCCATTTTGCACTCTTGTTTTTGCAGGCTTTGGCAGAATCTTGTGATGGTGGTAGTCTGGCATCAGACACCAATATAAGGCTAATTTGTCTGTTTGATAACGAAGAGGTAAGCTTAGATAAAGCTAATATGGCTGTTTGATAATGAAGAGGTAAACATATATAAAGTTAAATGTCTGTTTGATAATGAAGAGGTTAGCTTATATAAGGCTAGCATGTCTGTTCCATGTCTAATGTACCTTCTTTTAGAAATATGTGTATGCTGTATAAGATCTGTTCTTTATAGGTTGGTTCTGAGAGTGCCCAGGGAGCTGCCTCCACCCTGCAGGAACTTGTTCTCCGTCGACTTAGTGCTGGGGGGACAAATACTGCTTTTGAGGAGGCCATTCCTAAGTCCTACATGGTCAGTGCAGACCAAGCTCATGCCGTCCACCCTAACTACCCGTATGTTTGGCTTCTTATATTTTGTAACCACGTATAAGTAAATTTATCCCCTAGACAATAATATCTGTCATTACAATGTATCTTCTTCAATGAGAAAACAGTGTTCAGTTGCAAAGTACAGATAAGAAGGTGGCATTAGATAAATGTTTGTGATATATATGTTGTGTATATATGTGGAATAATAAAACCGTTCCTGTGTATTTAAATTACCGGTACGTGAGTTCACTACTGTTTCTAAATTTATGAATATTTTCTGCTTGTTCTTGGAAATGACAACTTATTTCAACTATTCTGGGTGCATGTACAGAATTGATGAGTAAATGGGAATAAGACTGAATTTTATGACTCATGTGTAAGTCCTGGAATGGGACTTATTTGGACATCTAGTAATCAAATTGTTTCTATGCCTTTAATAATTTAACCCATAAGTTCTTTACCAAAACATGAAATCCCCAGAGCTCAGGTGCAAAGATGGAGATAATTGATATTAAAGATGCAGTTACTTCATCTGTGTAGTTCTTCATCATACCATGACAACACTGTTTGCATGATAATGGTGAGGAAAGAGTCCTTGACAACATTTGTTACTCCTGGGTCTACAGTAAAACTCGGTTTTAGTGAAGTCCCTGGGACTTCAAAATGCACTTCCTTATAACCGAGATGCTTTATATCCATGTAAGAAACTCTGAGAAAAGTCCTCTTTGGGGTTCATATAATGTTCCTTAAAACCAAGATTTCCTTATAAGAGAGTTCTTTATAACAGAGTTTTACTGTTTAATAAACTAAATGAGTATTTTACTTTTGTAAGCTTTTACTGGATTATTATTACCAATGTGCCATCTTCCAAAACTGTAAAGTCCATGACTTTTGGTTGTGCCCAGGTGAGGATTAGATCTTGAAAGAGGAATTGGCAAAAATTTGTATAAAATACTTAACAATCTTTCACTTTTCAGAACTTTGGTAGACCCTATTGTTGTGTCTATGCAATCTAATCAACAGTTTTCATTTATGAATCATCTTGTGTGTTTTTCCATTTATATTAAACTTTGACGTGATGATTACCCGGTACAAATATCTGAAGAAATTTTGGTATTCATACTTAGTACAAAGGTTGCATATGACCTAAAATTCTGTCACAGCAGTGTCCAAGGTCATTTACAGTAGGTCAAGGACATAGGAAGAAAGATTATTGAGTCTTCTCAATATTAGGATGTAGTGGTAGAGAAACATAAGTCACTGTTTACCAAAAAGTTTGGCCATGGCTTTATATAGGTCAAGGTAATTGGAGAAATATGAAATTTAGAGATTTGGTGAATTTCTTTTTCTATCAAAGCAATATAAGGAATGGGTACACATACACACACACACACACACACACACAGATATATATATATATATATATATATATATATATATATATATATATATACATGTATGTGTGTGTGTGTTATAAAGGTGGTTGGTGTAGAGAGTGTTTGAATTCTTGCAATACTGAAGTGTCTGTCAAGGCCTATAAATCCCTTATTTTACATGTGTTGGATGGTGTTCATCAAACTTTTTCTTCCATGTTTACCATCTTTTTCTTTTCTCAGTGAAAAACACGAAGAAAACCACAAGATTGGGTTACACAAAGTAAGTAAATATTGCTCAAGATTTCTCCATGTACTGGTACAAGTTCATGAAACCAGATAATTTTAATGTGCTTGAGCTGTATTTTTTCTTTGTGTGTTTTGGTAGGGAGTTGCCATTAAATTCAATGCCAACCAGAGATATGCTACAACAGCAATGACTGCCTCCATTTTGAGGGAGATAGCCAGTCGAGGCCAGTGTCCACTACAGGTATGTTGAAATAACAGCTCTGTGCCAAATTTCTTAAAAAATATTTAATAGCTCTGAAGCTTTATTGTGTCTCAATTGTACAAATTTTATAAGAAAGCTTGTATGTTATGCCTTAAAACTTTTAAGTATTATCAACTTTCTGTTTGATATCACAAAACCATTTTTAGCTCATCTCAATGAAGTTGGGGGAGCTTATGTAATACCGTCGGTGTCGGTCAAGGTTTTTGGAGCAGTTTTCTTTTCAAGTACTTCTATGGCAATATTAGTCAGAGATGCATGGAGGATGCTACTAGTGAGTTTCATTGTACCAGCCAAGGTTTCAGATGCTGCAATTTCAGCTAAAGAATGACCAGGTTAATGTTTTTGGAGCAGGTTAAAGTTTTTGGAGCAGGTCTCATTTCTAAGTAACTATAAGCCCTATATTGACCAAACTTGCATGGGTTATATATCTAAGGATGCACACTGCTGAACTTGCTTCGGATGCTGGATCTGACCTACATTTTCCGGATGAGTGACTAGGTTAAAGTTTTTGGAGATCTCATTTTCAAGTAACTATAAGCCCTATATTGACCAAACTTGCATGGATGAAACATCTAAGGATGCACAATACTGGACTTGCTTCGGATGCTGGATCTGACCTATATTTTCCGGATGAGTGACCAGGTTAAGGTTTTTGGAGCAGATCTCATTTCGAAGTAACTAAAAGCCCTATATTGACCAAACTTGCATGGATGATACATCTAAGTATGTACACTACTGGACTTGCTTCGGATGCTGGATCTGACCTATATTTTCTGGATGAGTGACCAGGCTAAAGTTTTTGGAGCAGATGTCATTTCCAAGTATCTATAAACCCTATATTGACCAAACTTGCATGGATGATACATCTAAGGATGCACACTACTGGACTTGCTTCGGATGCAGGATCTGACCTACATTTTCCGGATGAGTGACTAGGTTAAAGTTTTTGGAGATCTCATTTTCAAGTAACTATAAGCCCTATATTGACCAAACTTGCATGGATGAAACATCTAAGGATGCACAATACTGGACTTGCTTCGGATGCTGGATCTGACCTATATTTTCCGGATGAGTGACCAGGTTAAGGTTTTTGGAGCAGATCTCATTTCGAAGTAACTAAAAGCCCTATATTGACCAAACTTGCATGGATGATACATCTAAGTATGTACACTACTGGACTTGCTTCGGATGCTGGATCTGACCTATATTTTCTGGATGAGTGAACAGGCTAAAGTTTTTGGAGCAGATGTCATTTCCAAGTATCTATAAACCCTATATTGACCAAACTTGCATGGATGATACATGTAAGGATGCACACTACTGGACTTGCTTCGGATGTAGGATCTGACCTACATTTTCCGGATGAGTGACCAGGTTAAGGTTTTTGGAGCAGATGTCATTTCGAAGTAACTAAAAGCCCTATATTGACCAAACTTGCATGGATGATACATCTAAGTATGTACACTACTGGACTTGCTTCGGATGCTGGATCTGACCTATATTTTCTGGATGAGTGACCAGGCTAAAGTTCTTGGAGCAGATGTCATTTCCAAGTATCTATAAACCCTATATTGACCAAACTTGCATGGATGATACATGTAAGGATGCACACTACTGGACTTGCTTCGGATGCAGGATCTGACCTACATTTTCCGGATGAGTGACCAGGTTAAGGTTTTTGGAGCAGATCTCATTTCCAAGTAACTAAAAGCCCTATATTGACCAAACTTGCATGGATGATACATCTAAGGATGCACACTACTGGACTTGCTTCGGATGCTGGATCTGACCTAAATTTTCCGGATGAGTGACCAGGTTAAAGTTTTTGGAGCAGATGTCATTTCCAAGTAACTATAAACCCTATATTGACCAAACTTGCATGGATGATACATCTAAGGATTCACACTATACTACACTATACTTGCTTCGGATGCTGGATCTGACATATATTTTCCGGATTAGCAACCAGGTTAAAGTTTTTGGAGCAGATCTCATTTCCAAGTAACTATAAGGCCTATCTGAACCAAACTTGCATGGATGATGCATCAAGGGACGAACAATCTCAAAACTTGCTTTGGATGCTGAATTTGACTTACATTTTCTGGATGAGTGACTAGTTTTAAGTTTTCACATAAGTCTATTCCCAAGTAACTGCAAGCCCTATCAGACCAGAATTGCATAAATGTTGCATCTAGGGATGCACACTCCTAGATTATTAGTTTAGTGTGGGACTTTGCCTTACTTAAAGACAACATTCGTTGAGGTGAGCTCTGTAATCTCTGATTACGTATGTTTAATCAATTTTAGCCACAGTGTCATTGGTTAAAGGGGAACAGAAATTATGAATTCCAGGAATCCTTACATAAGCATATTAATGTATCAGTGAAAGCAGAAATTTCTTACTCAATATATTCTTAAAGATAATGTTTTACATGAAACACTTTCCTATGTTGTCCACTCTAGGATATAGTAGTGAAGAATGACTCGGCCTGTGGATCAACTATTGGACCTATCATGTCTGCCAAGCTAGGAATTCCAACCATTGATGTGGGAGCCCCCCAGCTTAGCATGCACTCCATCAGAGAAATGTGTTGTACAAGTAGTGTCCTACAGACCAGTCAACTGTTCAAGGTACAGTAACACATGATTACAGTGAACACACATAGAATGAAGTCATGCTTACAGTTAACTCCCACAGACCACTCAACTGTTCAGGTATTCAGTGTGTGCTACACAGTTGTCAGCAGAAATACTCTGTACTCTAACAATCCTGTGTTTTTGCTTTTTTTTCTCTCTCTCTCTTATTGGTCTTAGGTAATATTAAATAACTTTCATGTTTGTGGAATCATTGCGCTTTGTTGTAGTTCAGTTTTTAAGAGTACCAGTACACTTTACCTAGCAATTAAAAAAGCTCAGTGACTACTGAAATATAAGTAATGAAGTTTGTCCACAGAATTGTTTCCCTGAACCTGTAAATTTTTAAGCAATCCACAAAAATTGGCCCTCCACAGATTAGAATGATTGCAGAGTATTTGAATTGAACAATGTAAAAAAAAAAAAAAATGTAAACTGAGTATACAATGTTATTTTTGTAAAGGGAAACAAATTACTTTATTTGAAATTGTAAAGTATACTTTTGCTAGAAGTAGGTCAGTTGACAGGAAACTTGAATCTTTCCTGTCACACTGCAGAAACCACATGTATTAGTTTTAATAAAAAAAATTTCTCTGCCTGTTTTCAATACAGAAATGTCTTTTCTTCTATTACAGGCATTCTTTGAGCATTATCCGAGTGTGTTTACATCCATCCAGTGAAATTTTTGTGGTAATTCAGGGATGTGAAGGGCCTTCTGTGATCTGTGATTTTACTTCCCTCAGTGACATTGTTTCATGAAAACACCCATGTTTATATAAACAGGTCTGAGATCAAAATCTCATCATGTATTCAAGAACTGTATTTTCAAGAACGTGAACAAATGCACATGTAAATGCCTTCACATTTTCTTACATATACATGTCTAGTATTTTCTCCCTTTTTTTTCTTGAAAACCCATCGAGTGTTGTTTATCTGAAACGATAAACATAATTTACTTCTAAACTTTTAAAAGCCATTTGTATGAAAGATTTTCTTAGGAGTGTCAAAGGTAAACTTTTTCTTGGCAATGTTTTTTTCTTTTTCAGTGCAACTTATGGATTGATAATACAGTATTTTACATATTGTATGAATAATTTAAAGATCTATATAAAGATTTAAAAAATGTCCATCTTTGCTTGTTTATATGGGTTGAACAGTCACAAGTTAACATAAACTGCTTATGAGGGTTATGCATTTTAGTTCACCTGAGTTGAAAGCTCAAGTGAGCTTTTCTGATCACATTTTGTACATCTGTGACTTTCTCTCAACAACCACTGGGCCAATTTCAACCAAACCTGATATAAGCATCCTTGGGTGAGAGAATTCAAGTTTAATCAAATGAAGGACCATCAAAGGGAGATATTTAAGAATTAGTAAAAATTCAATGGCATCTTTCAAAATCTTTTTCTCAAGAAACACTAGGCAGAAAAGATAACACTTAAATGAAAGCTTCATCATATAGAATGCTTTTTTTTTCATAACCCTCGGGGATAGGGTAGGGCCACAATGGGCAATCAAAATTTTACATAGAAATGTATGGAAAAAATCTTTTTAAGAACAGCAAAGCCATAATGGATTCATATTCTCAGGCAGTATAAATTCAAGTTTTTTTTCAAATCATGACCCCTTGGAATAGTGGGGGGCCATAAGGGACAATCAGTTTTTATATCAAAATATATAGAGAACTAGAGCCGAGCTCGTTGCAGAGCAACGAATAAGTCTTCCGTTGGAGCAGTGACCTTGAGTCAAGGTCATGCCATATTCTAAGATGATAAATAATCTTTTAAGGGACTATCAACTTGCAATGCTTCGCCAGTAGAAAGACAATAAAATAATGTACACTTTCTATTTCGTGACCTTGAACTTGTCCAGATGACCTTGCGTCAAGCCATGACACACTCTGGTTATGACGCAAACCTATCTGTGTTACCGACTTGACAAGTTAACACATGTTCTTTCAGACCACACATCCAGTAAAAGCATCTTGTTCTTAGCGACGTTGAACTTGAGTCAAGGCCAGGACACAGTCTGTATGATACCAACAATACCCATTCTGAGTGTTTCCAACTTGACAAGTTTACACATGTTTTTTTTCATTTCGTTTCCATATAGTTGTAATTTATTACTTTTAACTCGCTAAATTCAAATTTTATTGTATATATGTTTTATGTCCAATTTCGATATTGAAAAACGTCGGCATCTTTGAGTACGTGTACAAGGTGCATTACGTTACCCTATCACATCATGTTTTATAACGCAGACCATACATGTATATATAGTCAGCGTTATAAAAAAAAAGGTTAAAAAAAACCCATTTTATTCATCAAAAATCTCTGCTTAATTATCTTTGCTGATTTCTTACAGAACTAGAGTGTTCCCAGGAACGCATGTGTCGCCTGCTTTTAGCTTCATTAAAGATGTAACTAAGCCTAAAAGTTATCAGCTATTTATTTGCTAAGGCATTGAATATAGTTCATGCCAAAAAAACAAAACAAAACAAAACAATCCAGGGATAGTAAGACTGCGATAGAATCTAACAATCAAATAGAAATGCAAATCCTTAACCCCTGAAAGCTAAAATGGATATTAATGAAATTTGAATAAATTTATTATAAATAATTATATATAAATTATTTAAGTACGTGATTTCAACAATCCTTCGAAAGAGGCTTCAGTCTTTCATATCAGCAATTGTCAGTCTACACCATCCATTTTGGAATACCGATCCCGTTGTATTTTCATAGTACTTAAATTTCAGTTTTTGTGGTTTCTTCATTTCATACAGTGTCAAAATACATTGTCATGAGATCATAAACATGTATAACTGTTAATTATTATACCCTGCCTCTGTAATTTCAAAAGACATAAGTTAAATTTAACCCTCCGCAGTATATTTTACAAAATAGGTCAAAGGTCAAGGTCATGTGAACTGTAACGCTGGTATTTTTCAAAATGTTTTATGACAAACAGTGCACATTCTAAATAGCATAGACTTACCTCATAAATATCGAAAAGAAGTTGTATATCGGCATTATTGGTTATTTTGAAAAGTAGGTCAAAGGTCAAGTTCAAGGATATCTAGGTCGGAAGCCATGGAAAAATACAAAAGCCATAGTGTCAAGCTATATGTGCAAATTATCAAACCCATACCTCTTACATTTCTCGAGATATAAGGTGTGACAGACGGACGGACAGCAAGACAGACGCCAGGTAAATTGATTGCTAAGTGCTGCTCTGCTCTGCAGGCGACACAAATGTGTTTGTTTGATTGTCTGTTTGTTGTTTAACGTCCCTTGAGCTGCCAGCATTTGCCAGTGGAGGGCTGCAAATTCAGACCTATACTCGACACTCAAGGCCATTGAGCAGTGGGGGATTTTTTTCATGCCGGCACCTACTGCTAAACTGGACCTCGGTTTATACGGCCTCATCCGAAGGACCATACTCCACGTTCTGTAGCGAAATTGTTTGTTTGTTTGTGTGTTAACGTCCCCGTCGAGATTTTTCACTCATATGGGAAAACCACCACTTGCCGGTGGAGGGCTGTAAATTCGACACTCAAGGCCATTGAGCAGTGAGGGATTTTTTTCATCCCAGCACCTACTGCTACACGGGACCTCGGTTTATACGGTCTCAACCGAAGGACCAGTCTCCATGTCCCGTAGTGGAATAGTTTGTTTGTTTGTGTGTTGTTTAACGTCCCTCTCGAGATTTTTCACTCATATGGAAACGCCACCACTTGCCGGTGGAGGGCTGCAAATTCAGACCTATACTCGACACTCAAGGCCATTGAGCAGTGAGGGATCTCTTTCGTCCCAGCATCTACTGCTACACGGGACCTCGGTTTATACGGTCTCATGCAAAGGACCGGTCTCCACGTCCCGCAGAAGGAGTCGAACCCGCGACGTAAAGATTAACTCCTTACTCCGCGACTCTAGAGCAAACACTCAAACCACTGCGCCACGCGGGCGACGTGGTGGTATTCGAAACCACAACTACGAATCGTAGGGGTAGAAACATTTTGATAAATGTATTATCATTATGAAAATCATGTTCTGACTTAAGCCTGTAGAACGCAATTTCATTTTTTTCTGGGACGGGGCACAAACAATCAAATTTTTTTTATATCTAAGCAAAAAAAAAAAATAAATAAATAAAAATAAAAATAAAAACATAATTGGGGGGGGGGGGTGGGCACGACCATATAGCTTTAAGCTATATAGTGACTAAGAAGGAATAACTTGTCATTTGTCAAAGTCTTTTACCTAAGCTCTTCACTTTTAATTGTCAATGACAGATTCTTGTTACAAAGTGAAAAGTATACATTTATATGTAGTACAGCTATCCATCTCATATGCATAATCTATTTAATGAATCGTTTTATCCTAAAGGGAAAGTGAAATCTCAATCAAAATTTGTCACAAATACTGGACTCTCTGATTAATTATAATATACATGTAAGAATGGATCGTCAATTAGGACTGCAGGTTTGATAAATTCACAGCATGCATCTTCAGCCTTAATTAAAACGTTGTTTCGAAATATTACACTGTATCTATAAAAGCGAAAAATTAGAATTGACCTAAAGAATATTTTACACCACAGGGGAAATGCTTCCGTGGCACCAGAAGTTTACAATTTTGATTGACAGGTGTAGCACCGTTCATGGATTTCATGTAACTATGTACAAATAAGAAATGAAGGGATCTAAAGAAAAAAGTTATTGTGATTGACATTGTAATTAAAACAGAGACAATTAACAGTAGTTTGGCTGTGCTGGCCTTTCTGACATTTGAAGTAAAGTTTAAGAATAACTTATCATTGAAATGAAGTTGTAAAAGTGTATTATCAATTATTTTCATTTTCATCATTAGATGTGCTAATAAGTTTGTTATATTCAAGTCCATGTATATGTACTCCTTGTACATTTTTTTTTTTTGAACCGCGCGTGCAAGTGTAATTAAATTATAAAAAGTTAACATACTTCTTAAATGCATGGGATTTACGTTACACAGTTCTGGGCATTAGAAATAATTAAGCTTATAGTGTTGGCGATATTTTATCGTATGCTAAAAAATATGTATTACATAAAACATGTATTTTAAAAAATTCAGCACAATATAGCCTTTCAGATACTTATACAAACAAAATCAGATTACATATAATATGAAATATTTTATTGAATATTATGATCTCTTCTCTGTAAACAGGTGTGTTTTGAAGAGGACATTGAAGGCGAAAAGGAGCTCGAATAGCCGCCAGTTTTTTTTTCTTCGGAAAGCTGTACAGTTATCTTGGACGACATATCGCGTACAAGTACAGTGTACAAAACAGCAGTGAAAATAAAAATAATGAACTCAAAGTTTAATTCTCTTCTCTCAATTAATTACCAACAAATATATATTAAGTTTTTACCAGAGTGTATACAAAGCGACTTTTCAAGCGGTACATGAAAGCGTTTGACGCGTGACCAGGTACGTGTAATTGCTTTCAAAACATGCAAACTCAGACTACAGTATCAGGTAGAGCAGGTCGCTGGCCTGTCAATCAAATCAGCAGCTGTTGTTTTATTTTTGTATGATTGTCGGGCGGTATGTTATCGATCTTAAGCTAGGTAGATTTTGTGGGCGTTAATGGAAAATTGGGTGTTTAATAAAAAGCACATGTACTTGTCATATGCTGGAGTTACAAAACTATAGTCGACAGAGTTTTTCACATAGCATGTTAAAAGTTTGTGTAATCATAAAGATAGCCATTTTAAAAAGAAAATAATGTAAAAGTGTTTAGCAATGCGTCTTATTGTTTTCAAAATATATCTCTTTTGAATTCTTTGTCTACAAACCTTGTGTGTCAAGTTAGAATTATCTGCAGAATTAACCACACGCAATGAATCTCCGAAATTAAACACATAATAACACATAATTGAGAAATAAATCGTTTATTAAATACATGTATGCAGTTTAAAGATTAGGATTCATGAAATCGGGGACCTTTATACGTCCTTAATAAAATGTTTTGGATTTAAATTAAATCAAATTAAGATAAGAATAAATGATTTAATTGAATGATCCGGTATGACTTAAAAAATAATTTTCCGTAAATCATTGTGTCAGCAAAATGAATATAGAAC